AAAGAGATGAGGAGATGAATGACAGCACCAGCGTTGCGATGGGGGATGTCGACGCTAGGATATCAGCTGTCATGGAGGAGGCGATTTCTTCCTCTGGTAGACCGACAATTGCTGAGAGGAGGCTGCGGATGAATGTGTTCAAGGTTGGCAGCAGCAGTGAGTAGATGAATGTAGTATTCGAGGCTTTCCAAAGCGAAGTTGGTCCGCTGGTCGTCCAGAGCTGCGAAATGGTCTCCATCAGTGAGGATGGGTTCTTGAGGGACAAGGCATATCGGGATGATGCAGAAGAGGGAATATAACCACTCCGGTCGGTGATTTCACGGCGACGAGACCGTCCCCTCGAGCGAGAGGCCCCAGGAGACGAGCCTCTGGGTGCTGCGGATGTAAAGTAACTGCTTTCATCGTCGGATGAGTGGTAGTCCTGTTGCTGTCAGTATGAGTCTACCCCGCCACACAATCACAACACCAGCACCAAGTGCTGTGGATGCTAAACATCAAATCTAAGGATAACTCACATCTTCCTCATCTTCTGTAGTCCCGTAGGCACTCTCTCTGCCCCGGGGAACAGACCGTCGTCGACTGCTCTTGGACCCCTCTTCATACGGATCGTGCACCACATACGCCTGCAGGATAGTTTTGGCAACATCAAACGGCTGAGCAGTCAACACGGTCGTGTACCGCCAGAAGGCCCTGTTCAAAGCATCCCGAACCCAGTCCGAAGCTGATGAAGATGAGTCTAGGTACTCTGAATAGTCCAAATCGGGCAGCAGGTCGCGCGCCGAGCTGGAAAACACCTGCGTGGAGGACGAGGGGGCGATGTCGGGGGTGGAAGCGGAGGTGTTGTTGTGCTCCAGGCCGAGAGAGGGAGGAATATAGTAGGGACGTAGGGGATTGATGCCTTCGCGGGAGGCCATTTTGTGTTAATGTAGTAGTATAAGTTAAGTGGGAGATAGGTTATGGTTGGTGGCAGGTGGTGAAGTCCGAAAAACCCGCCGCTATTTCGGGTTTTCCTTTTCTCCCTCTTCCAATAAGATCTGCTGCAATTCGCCGCTCTTGGGTAATTCAATTCCGCTGAAAAGTGCTCAATCTCTCCTCTTCTTTAATTATATACTGTCTCTATATTCTAGCAAAATGTCGCTCTTCCGAGAAGCCTGCCACCAGCTGCGTCATATCCCCAAAACTGCATCCCGCACATATCTATCTCGTCCGGCGCCCCGACAGTCCCTCTGCCTCGCCGATTCGTCCCGTCTGCAATTGTCCAGGAGGAATAATGCTGCTTGGAGGATAGGGTTGAATGCGCGGTCGTTCTCAGTTACAGCCAGAGCGCAGCATGGGCATTTGACACCCCCAAAGCCAGGCGAGGAGTGAGTAGCGTTGGAAATACTACTCCATGGAGCCTATGCTAATCGCGACAGGATCAACATCTCGATTGTCGATAAGGATGGCGACAAGCATGATCTTCAGGTGGCTGAGGGGGACAATCTGCTAGACATCGCGCAGGCCAACGATCTAGAGATGGAAGGTTCGCATCCCGACAATGTGATATAGAGAGGAAAAAGCGACGGGGCTGACATTGTGTATTATAGGCGCCTGCGGTGGCTCCTGCGCCTGCTCGACTTGCCATGTCATTATCGAGGACCCCGATTTGTTCGACAAGATGGAAGAACCCTCCGACGACGAGAACGACATGCTGGATTTGGCATTCGGGTTGACAGAGACCTCGCGCCTGGGGTGTCAGGTTCCGATGAGCAAAGATCTGGACGGAATGGTGGTGCGACTGCCGACGATGACAAGGAATCTGCAGGCCAGCGACTTTGAACAGAAGTGAGATTTACACTGGGTATAGGTTTTCGGACGAGTGCATAAAAGTTGAGATATCATCTACGTCGATTCATGTTGGAATTACGAGGCTTGGGCATGACAAGGAATGAAGAACGAACTTTTTAAGACAATGTACAGACCATGTATCAATAGATAGAATCAAATCCTCCCTCCATAACGCCGAACATGCCTTGATAGTTAAAAAATGAATGAACAAAAACTGATCAAGCCTCCTCAATGTTCAACGGCTTGCCCTTCTTCCCACTAATCAGATCAAGGAATCCCTGTCTGCTAACCTCGTTGGCGGCTTTTTCACGCTCTCCTATTCCAACCGTTCCCCTCTTTCGTTCCTGCTTAGCAGCCTCTTCACCCCTAACCTGCGCAGCCCGGACGGCATTGAACAGCTTGACCACACCACGCTGCCCAATCTTGCGAAGACGCTTCTCCTCCTCAGCCACGGGACCAGTCAGGCCCCGCTCAATACCCTTGATATCGCGGATGCGACCACGATCCAATTCCTCTTTCTTTTCTGCCCGGAGTTTGGCGCGCGCCTGTCTGTCGATTTTCTCGTCTGCGAAATCGGTTGTTGTCTGGGACGCAGATTTACTGCGCGACAGGACGGGGTCTGCGCGCGCGGAGGTGGGGAGCTTGGTGGACAGAATTTTGGAAATGGATGTCGAGAATGCGGAGGGATCGTTTCTCTTCTGCACGTTTCTTCCTTTCGAGGCGCCTTCGCCATCTTCTTCTTCTTCATCAGAGTTGTCACTCGCATCGTCGCCGCCGTCAGAGTCTGCATTGCTTTCCTCTGCCTCTTTTTGTTCCTCTTTCTTCGCGGCCTTCGGTTTCTGGTTCTGCCCTAGCGTCTTGGTCTTCTTTTGCGGGGGCTTCGCCTTCACATTGTCCTCTGCGTCCGAATCGGCCAGACTAACACCCTTGAAAGTAGTTTCGTCGTCATTGTCCTCCTCATCGGAGCTGTGGTAGCCGCGCTGCTTTCTGAACTTCTTGCTGGGACGGTTGGTTTTGCCCTGCATGCCATCCAAGACCTTGCGCTTCTTGGCGACCGACGAGGGAGCCATATTGAATCAATTAGAGACAAAATGTGCAATTCGAGAGTTGTTGTTTTATTGTCGGCGTTCTTCGTTTTTTCTCATCGAACTTTTTAGGCGGAGAGTGTAGCGCAGTCTCTGATTGGCCCGTGGACTCTCCGCATTGATATCGCTTCGGGTGGCCTTTTTGGCTGTCATCTTCGACACTGCGCCATATACAAAGTCTTGGTGATATACAGCCGCTACTAGTGCTATTCTATTCTACTTCATACTGTTAATACCGTCGACATGGTCCTCCAGGATCTCGGGCGGCGCATCAACTCCGCCGTCAATGACCTGACCCGGTCCAACAATTTGGACGAAAAGGTGAGTTCTACACAGCTATTGTGGTGGGATAGATGCTAATAGTCAGGCATTCGATGACATGATCAAAGAAATCTGCGCTGCACTCCTGTCAGCCGACGTCAATGTCCGCCTCGTCCAGTCGCTGCGCAAATCCATCAAGTCCAGCGTGAACTTCGCCTCCCTCCCACCAGCCGTCAACAAGAAGCGATTAATCCAAAAGGCCGTCTTCGATGAGTTGACTACCCTGGTCGACCCGCACGCTGAACCCTTCCGTCCCAAGAAAGGCCGCTCGAATGTGATCATGTTTGTCGGATTGCAGGGTGCCGGAAAGACCACTACCTGTACCAAGCTGGCCCGGCATTACCAGATGCGTGGGTTTAAGACGGCGCTCGTTTGTGCGGATACTTTCCGTGCTGGTGCTTTCGACCAGCTGAAGCAGAACGCAACCAAGGCGAAGATTCCGTACTATGGTAGTCTGACGCAGACAGACCCCGCGGTTGTGGCGGCGGAGGGTGTCTCCAAGTTCAAGAAGGAGCGGTTTGAGATTATCGTTGTCGATACTAGTGGTCGTCACAGGCAGGAGGAGGAGTTGTTCGCTGAGATGACCCAGATTCAGACAGCCGTGACTCCGGACCAGACTATTCTCGTGCTCGACAGCACCATCGGTCAGGCTGCGGAAGCACAGTCGGCTGCGTTCAAGGCTACGGCGGACTTTGGTGCGATTATTATCACCAAGACAGATGGACATGCGGCTGGTGGTGGTGCCATCTCCGCTGTCGCAGCGACACATACGCCCATCATCTACTTGGGTACAGGTGAACACCTAATGGACCTCGAACGCTTCGAGCCCAAAGCCTTCATCCAGAAACTCCTCGGAATGGGCGATGTCGCCGGCCTCGTGGAACACGTCCAGGCCGTAACAAAGGACTCCGCCGGCGCCAAAGAAACCTACAAACACATCTCCGAAGGAATCTACACCATCCGCGACTTCCGCGAAAACATCACCTCGATCATGAAAATGGGACCCCTCTCCAAACTCTCCGGCATGATCCCGGGTCTCTCAAACCTAACCGCCGGCCTGGACGACGAAGACGGCTCCCTCAAACTCCGCCGCATGGTCTACATCTTCGACTCCATGACAACCGCTGAACTCGACAGCGACGGCAAAAACTTCATCGACCAGCCCACCCGCATGGTCCGCATCGCCTGCGGAAGCGGCACAACAGTCCGCGAAGTCGAAGACCTGCTTTCCCAGCACCGCATGATGGCCGGTATGGCGAAGAAGGTCGGCGGACAGAAGAAGCAGATGCAGCGCGCGCAGAACATGCTCAAGGGCGGGAATAAGGAGCAGCAGATGGCTGCTATGCAGAAGCGCATGGCGAGTATGGGTGGTGCCGGTGGTGGGATGCCCGGTATGGGAGGGATGCCTGGGATGGGGGATATGACGAAGATGATGCAGATGATGGGCGGCGGCGGCGGCGGCGGCGGTGGCGGTGGTGGGATGCCGGGGCTTGGAGGGATGGACTTGCAGAGTATGATGAGCCAGATGAGTGGGTTGATGGGTGGTGGAGGTGGAGGACGGGGGAGGGGACGGTGATCCCTCTCCTCAACCCTCTTATTTCTTCCTGTCGTCCTCTTTATTCGCTTGTCTATAAATATGTGTTTTATGATCTAGGATGGCTTGTGGTTTGACTGTAGCATGGGACGGCGTTGGGCGTGCACTCAATTGATATCAAAACATAAATAACGAGAATACATCCTACAATAATCTCAAGCAAAGAAAAGAAGCTAATCAACCCTCTCCGCCCTCCCCGCCCCCTCTAATCCCTCATAATACCACTCCACAACACTCCTCCTCACCAATCCAATCATCTCCTCCAACCGTCCAATAACAAACATAACAGGAACATCCCACCCCTCCGCCTGTCTCTCGTCACGAACGACCTTGCCCGGCGGGAGTCTCGGATGCTTAGCAGTAGACCCGGCAGGCAAATGGCCCTGCTTCTCAGGGAGCGGGACACTAAGTCTATATTCCCAGATCACAGCGCCATCAACGTACAGCGAGTATGTCAGGACTGAGTTAGGAACCAGAACAGGGGTCCCGGAGTCCGTGTCAACGGGCTCCTCGCCGTTTCTGATATCAATCAACCCGTACTTCACATTCCCATCTGGGATATATTTCACCGTGACGTCTTCATGGTCTGATTGCCAGTAACTCCTTACAGGAAGGTAGAACATGCTCAGCGGGCCGACGCTGAACTCGTGCAGGCCCTCACCAGCTGTATTCGGTTCTAAGTCCTTTGTATCAAAACCGAGTGTGGGGTCTGGGAACCGGGTTGTTGCGAATTCATGGCGATCACCACTAAGCAGGACAATGCGGACGCCTAGTTCCCGCTCTGCGCGCCACATTGCTTCGAAGACGGTGCGGCGCTCGTTTAGGAACCCGCCCCATGTATCTGTTGTCCCGACGTGCCAGTTCTTCGTAAAAGGGACGCTAGAAGCGATGATTTTCCAGCGGACCTCTGCAGGTTCCGGGCGGGCCAGGTAGGTGAGGAGGGATTGGAGCTGCGCGGAGCCTAGGATTGTAGAGTTGATTTGCGCAGGCTCGGAGCGGTAGGTGCGGCTGTCGAGCACGAAGAAGGAGGCTGGGCCGTGGATGAAGGAGAAGTAGGATGTGTCTTCGGGTTTGGCGAATGGGGTTGGCGGGATTGGGGGGTTGACGCTGACGTGGTAGTGGATGTAGGGTTCTGCTGCGGCGGGATATGGTGCTGTGGTGTTGCCGTGGGACCAGTCGTTTTCGATTTCGTGGTCGTCGAGTGTGTGAAGCCATGGGAGGTCGATGGAGGGGTTTTCGGGGGAGCTGGTCCACGATGGAGAGGAATAGACTCGGCGGTATTCGCTGCGGTAGTGCGAAATAGAAGATCCAAAGCGCATGGGAACGTCGATGTAGATGAAATCTCCAAGAAACAGCATGAATGTTGGCCGGAACAACAACTTGGAGATTGTCTCGGACACCTGTTCAACTCCCGGTAAGCGCAGTGGATGCGACAGCGGGTTGTAGGGGAAGTTTGGCTTCATGCAGCTCGAGGTCAAGAACGTGAGCTCATGTGCAGATTCCGTGCCTGGTAGTGGTGCTGTAGAAAAGGTACCTGCGTGGTTGTTGGAGAGCGAATAGCGGTACTGCGAGGAAGGCTTCAGGCCTTTCAGGACGATAGATGCCGTAAAGTCAGTCGTATTATCGAGCTTGTAAATAATGCCCTCTTCGATCCATTTCACCGGATTGTTTTCCTCGACCGCTTCCTGGTAAGAAACAGTTAAAGGAAGCTGAGCTGGGTCGGGCTCACGGATGAGCAAGCTAGCCGTAGTTGGCGAGACATATCCAACACGGGACAACGCGAGATTTTCGCCCGAGTAGAGAACCAGGCCACGAAGGAGAAAGTCCAGTGTGAATAGAGTCAGGACGATGTTGATCAAGGCAGTCACACGCGACGTCCGTGGAAGCCTGGGGGATGGAAGGCCGGTAAAGAGCGTCTTAAGAACCGAGTCATTCGAGCTGGCAGCACCTGCCCGTTTGGTTTCTGCGATATCCATGAGTATTCTCCCCATATCAAATAATCCGAGGTCTGTCTTACTGCGGTCATCGTGTTTATTGTCGGAGCGCCGGGAGGATTTCTGCTGAGCCAAGGATGACCACGTCGAGAAGTAGACAACAAACGAGGTGAAGACAATTGGAGGAAAGTGTCTACCAGGGATCTGAGGCTATATCAGCAGCTGTTCTAGCTATTTGAGCTCATGGATGGAGCTTACCCATCGGAGAAAAACAAAGGCTGCGAATCTGAGCAGAAACGAGCTGGTGATGGCAGCAATTGACTGCAGAGACATATTGCTGCTGGAAACTAAGGAATCATTTCAATACTAGCAATTCCTCAGAGATGGTTGAAGGAGTACAATTGGCATTGCCAAATGGTCTGGATGTAAAGGCGGAGATGACGACATTTAGTTATATCGATTCCTGCCTAAGGCAACAACACAGGGTCCAATAAAACACATTGGTATCTAAGCATGCTATGTATTTTATGCAAATGCTCTGTTTAACGTGGACGCATCATGTTCGAAAGAAAGCCAGCCCCCACCATTTGCCGCGCAGCAAAAACCACATCCTTGATATTCATACTGAGCGCCATTACAGCTGCCCAAGTCCACGGCTTCTCGCGTCCTCCTGGCATAGAATTGAAATACTCCCAGCCCATGACGCCGCCAAAGTTGGGGTACTGCTCAACTAGCATGGACAGAATAACACTCATAGTCTCAAGTGGCACGTAGCCCTGCGATCCGTTACCCGGGTTCGTCAACAGCCCGAAAACCACGCGCTGCGGGGACCAGCCCTGCGCAATAATCGCGGCGTACATTCGAGGATCGTCCGCTGGACCCCAGCCATTGTAGAATTGTGCATTGTACCAGCTGATCTTGGAGCCCCGGGCGGCGTCTAGCTCCCGATAGTCGAAGCCGGAGAGGTTTCCCATGCCCAGGAGAGCGGCAGCCACGGGTGCCAGGGTGATAATAAACTCATCTCCCAGATCTGACTTGAGACGATCAATCAACCGAATAGCCCCCTCCAGAGACATGCGCTCTTCAACATCAAGATCAATCCCGTCCAATTGATGCCGCCGGATCATCGCCAGAAATGGTTGGTAGTACTGCTCGAATTGCGCCTCGCTGCCGTCCAGATTGCGGAAGCTACCCTGGGCAGCACCACCCAGCAGTCCCATGATCTTCACGCCGCTTGCCTTCATTCGAGGTACTTCTGCCCATAGATCATTATAGCTGGGGTGGTCTGGCGGATCATTGTTGAGGGTAATATCGCCCGGGGTATCGTTTAGGTGGAACGCGGCCAGAATGACATGTGTGATCCCCGTGTGGTTCTCGACCAGCGGGAGCATTGAGACAACTGGGCCGCCATCTGGGCATATGGTCTGATGATAGACAATTACCCGACGCTGTGTTTGTGATCCTGGAATGGGAGGCATCGTTGTGGTGTCTGGATATAGAATCACATGACAGATTTGCGGAGCGTGAGATAGCTCGGAATCGGGAAGTCGATAATCCGGACTGCATGAGGCTATATAAAGAGGAGAATTTAAATTACTTAAAAGGGTGATATTGACTCTATAGACCCGCAATGATAGAATGAGTGCTTAGCCATCTAAAACGTATGGCTACGGTGCCTTTCTTCACAAGCTCGATCCATTGCTCGAGTATACATACTTTAGCATTATACTGGGTGTTTTATTGGCTCTCAGGACCTGGGTTATCCGGGGAACATGGTGAGATTCGGAGAACCATGACTAGCTGAGATGATATACGCGATATCCAGCACCACGGCAAAGACGGGAAAGGCAGGACAACAATATTTTGACATCATCATTCATCACCGGTAATCTTATAGATTGGTTTTCAATGGGTATATTCCCGGCCGTAACTGAATCATTCCCACACGCACGCTTACAGGCCTACCAACTACAACTCTCTAAAATGATTCGGTCCATCCAAGCAGCCCAGCGATTAGATTCAAGAGGAAACCCCACTGTTCAAGTTGACCTGACTATAGATAGAGGCAAGTCGACACCAAGTTGGTGATTCTGATAAGAAAGTTTCATTAACAATAATCAGGTACTTTCCGCGCTCTTGTTCCTTCTGGTGCCTCCACAGGCGCGCATGAAGCTACCGAGTTAAGGGATAACAAGTTGTCTGTTTATGGCGGGAAGGGTGTCGAGACAGCAGTACAGAAAGTAGAGGAGGTTATTGCACCTGCTTTGATCAAGAGTGGGCTCAGGGTAGATACGGACCAGAAAAGGATTGATGCGCTCCTAAAGGACTTGGACAATACCAAAAATAAAAGTAAACTGGGAGCCAATGCTATTCTGGGGGTCAGTATGGCATGCGCTAGAGCAGGGGTAGCATGTTTGGTAAGCTAAGATAGATAAAGCTCTGGTAGATTCATTGTTGGGACTGACTCTCTCTAGGATATACCATTGTACGAGTTCCTTCGCCAGGAATCAGGAGCGAAAAAGCTTTACGTGATGCCCGTTCCATTCTTCAATGTCCTCAACGGGGGAGTACATTCGGGCAACAAGATGGCATTTCAGGAGACCATGATTGCTCCCGTCGGGGTCACTTCTACACTGCATATATTTCCTGCTCTAATGTTTTGCTGGTGTAGTGTGACGGGCAGCAGCCAGTTTGCGCCAGGTGCAAAATATATGGTTACAGATGTACTTGGTCTACATGCAAAAGGAGAATGTCTGCTGAGTTTCTGGCTGGTGCAGGAGAACTGTCCAGGGAGACTGCCTCTTCAGTGTCACCCAAGTCTGAGATAAAAGCAAAAGATCATCTGCCAGCTTATACAAGAGCTATACAATCATACAAAGCACTGATCCAGGAATTTAGGCCCAAGCTAGATACCTCTCAACAAGCAGCTGTTGACATAAGTCTTCAAATTATTTGAAATCATCTTCCAGATGATGTTAAGAATGAACTACTGCATATATGGAGTCCCGAACTGTGGCGGAGCCCAATGCTATTTTCTTTGGTTTTTGCGCCTGTTGGTTGTTTGGCACGTTTTTTCCTGTCATTACAACTCAACGACCGGATCGCTTATTTTCCCTTGGGGACCTTCACAGCGAACGTGAGCGGGGTTATGATTCTAGGTATGGCTTATTCTCTGCAGCGTGCGTCGATAAGTTCGTCTGCCCTGGGAGGTGGCAGTTTCATTGGCTGTCAGGTTCTGGAAGGCATCATGGACGGATTTTGCGGTTGTCTTACAACCGTCAGTACCTGGGTTTTGGAATTATCTGATTTACGCAGGCGGCATGCTTACACATATGGAATTTTGAGCGTGGCTGTTGGTATTTGCATGCTGGTTATAGAAATTGGAAGCTTGAAGTGGACTCGTGGCTTTGTTACCCCGATATACTTTCAGTGATTGTTTTCGATGCATCTAAAATCATTCGCCAAGGGAATCATGTTCGATATGTACACTACCATTGACGATATAGATTACTGGGCTATCGAGGCACATGATGTCATTGTGGTCAAACATGTGATTTTCACTGCCCTTATCATTTGAATGATTTTCTTAGGGTCATCATCGGCCGATGTGGATTGAATTGGCTGTCTGCTATTCTTTGACGCCTTCGTGCTGCTATCTTTGCCTTCGAGGCGAAGGAGGCGAAGATGGTGTCAGTTTAGAAGGCCAATCTCGTCCAAGATCAGTTCGAGAGATGGACAAATTGTAGAGAGCCACTGTATATCTTTGATATGATAACCGTGATCCATGGTAAGCGACAGTTCGGATGGGAAGAAAAGAAGAGGAGAGATGGTGGAAGTATGGTACACTCTCCACCACATTGACATGACATCGTTCTTTCGTGACGGACAACATTCCCGACCAATAGCCCAGTCAACTAATGAATTCAAGCATCCGTCATATTTCTAGAAGCATTCGGGTCCTATTTCTCGCGTGGCGCTTGATATAACCATAGTGCCATGCTAAAGGCAAATTGCGAGAACTTCAGCTTATATATACAGCACTGCATGCACCCTGCTCTCTACAGCAGATAAAATCCAAATGTGAAATAAAAGCCCCATTCCAATCAGTTAAATAAGCATAGCATAATGCAACGATTTATCCTTCGCCCAACCCCCCTCTTCCGCAGTTCTCCAAACCCCTCCACTGCCTGGACTGCGTGCCGATTCGCAACCGCATCCCACCATCCCAATCCCGGCAACTTTTCCAATCGCCCCAGAGAACAACTGTCTGAAGCCGGCCGCAAAGGTGGTAAGAAGGGTGGAAAAGCGCGCGGCGTTGGCGGATTCCACAATATGGATCCGGAGAAACAGGTATATTCATCCACTGCCCAGCTGGTTAGATTACGCGGGTGCTGACCCTCTGCAGCATGAAATAGCTTCTCGCGGAGGACATGCCTCCAGGAAGGCAGCCAAGCAACAATATCAAGTCCCGGAAGAAGAACCGGTTGATCCAGCTACGGCACCTCCGGGGTTTGAACGGTCTGCTTCTGCGTAGTTAGTTGACTACTTTATGTCGTCTGTATATTAGCATAATATTGGATAATTAACGGTGTTTCATTGGTAATTTCATGGCAATCGTACCCAGGGGTACTCTGTAGACAAATTCAATAGCATCCTCTTCGGATTTAACATGATATGTACATCTACAACTCAAACCACTCAGCAGCTATTAAGAGAAACTGACCATAAGATTCTGCCAGACGGGACTTCCCGACTGAGTTGCTTGAACTTGTTCTTTTGGTGAACACTCCACTATAACTGTCATGGAAAATGAATGCGAACAGGCTGTTTTGATCGATGTGCGGGCTACAGACCGTTAGCGACCATTAGTAGGAAAATAGATACAAGGAAGTGCGCAAGGGAAGTATCTCATTCCCGAGTCCAGAGCCTCAATATCAGAAAACAGTCGTCAGTTTGAAGAAAACTACGATAATAAACAAAGTACCCGTTTAGGAAGGTTATCTAGTCCATTAACAGTAGGCGGTGTAGGTAATTTGCCTTATCTCTTCATGCCTCATTATCAAGGCACCAAAGACATCAATACTGCGCGTTCTCGAACTCAACGACCACATCCAAAACATCAGTTCGAGTTCCATCGCTTGCGCAAATAAGACCTATCATTTCTATCTGGCTGTATCGCGTATCACAGATCATCTGACACATCGCAACAACGAACCAAACCACCGAACTATGCCCCTTGTGGTGTAAGCCACTTTGTTTTCCCCTTACCTCAACCACTCGCGCATCAAAATCCACCCTCCACCATGGCAAACACCGGCTACTCCTCACCATTTCCCACGTCGCACGACACAATCGGTACATCAACCCTAATCACACCCTTCAACATGCCCTCCTCGCCACCAACACCCGCCCGCGAAGCGCCCGAATCCGAATCCCATTCCCCCCTGGGCTCGCCCGTCCCGCAAAGCCCGACTCTCGATCGCTTGGCAAAACATGACGCGGAAGACTCGGATGATGACGAGGAAGAGGACAGAGATGTTGCGCGGCAACGCGAGATCGATTCGCCGGTGTTGTCGAGGGCGTCGTCGCCGGATCGTGCTGCGATGGCTGATTTGGATGCACGGCTTGCGGAGTATTCGATTGATTTTGGGAGGCTGGGGGGTGATAAGGATGATGATATGTTGCCGGGTATGAAGTGGTTTGCGGATGAGGATAAGGTGTCAGAGGTTGGTGGGCCGGAGGATTTTACAGCGAATTTGGAGAAGTATTTGATGGGGGAAGACGACGACGAGGATAGGCTAGAGAGGGGACCGGAAGAGCAGCGCGTACAAGAGCAGGAACATGACGAGGACGAAAACGAAGAAAAGGAACATGCGCGGGAGCAGGAGCAGAACTCCAAACTGCAATCTGCAGAAAACGAGGCGGAACTTGGCGAATACAGTGAATTCGGTCCCCCGGTCGACATGTCGACTCCCTCCCACCTCCTTCACAGAACACAGAGTGGAATCGCCAAGGATTTCACACATATGGAAGGTATCGAGGAGAACGATGAAATGGAACCAGCAGTCACCCCATCCGTCCGGAAACAACGGCAACGGAGTCTTTCCAGCAGATTCGAAGAGGAGAGGACTAAAGATTTGCAGCAGAAAATCGCAGATCTACAGCAGGCATTGCGGGATAGAGATGAACAACTGGAGAAGAACCACAATCGAGTCCGTGAAGCCGCTTCCGCTGGCGAGCAGATTCGGCATCTCCAGACGGAATTGCAGCGCAAGTCCGCTTTGCTTGACGAACTCCAGGTGCAGGGCAGCGATGAGGAACTCTTGCGCGAACAAGTACAGTTGCTGCAGAAGCAGAACCAGAACAGGGAGATGTCCTTCCGGAATTCCATGAATTCGACCGACATTGGCGCTCTCCGGAGGCAAATGGAGGAAATGCAAAATGAATTGCAGAATCGAAATATGTCTGGCTTGGATGCTGAAAGACTGGACACCATCGCCCATCTCCGCGAACAGCTCAGCTTGTCCCAGGATCAATTGAAGAAGCGCGATGCAACTCTCGACGAAACTATGGCGAAGCTCCGGGAGGTGACCACGGGCAAGGAGCAGCAGCTTCGAGAGAAGAACACAGAAATCAACAGCCTCAGGGCACAGGTCGATGTCCAAGCGTTGGAAATTGAGAAGCTGGAGACCGATGTGGATCGCGCAAACACAGACTACCAGACTCTCGAAAGCCGGATTGCCTCCCTCGAGACCCAAAATGCTCCATTGGAGGAGAGGAACAGCACCCTTGAAGCTGACCTGACGCGCGCACAGTCCCAAGTGACAGCTCAGGAAAACGCTCTCAAAGTGATGGCCGCAGACCTCCCCTCCGGAACAGGAGGACAGAAGACCTTTACCGAGATTCTAGACCTCATCAAGGATCTCGACCCGCAGGAGGAAGAACCAGAACCTTTCCTCCCGGGTCCTAGAAGTTCTACCAGGGAATATGAGCTAGAGTATCTCCGCCAGGAAATCGCAAAGCTGCAGAACAAACTAAACGAAAAATCGCAATCCGAAAAGACCCTGCAAGCAGAACTATCGCAATCCCGCGACCAAGCCACCGAAACCCAATCCCTCTTCAAATCAATCGAAACTGAAAACACCCGTCTCACCAAACGCGCCGACGACCTCAAATCCAACTTTGACAGAGTTCAGCGCGAATTCCAACAGTTGAGAACCGACCACTCCACCGCCCTCCAAACAATCGACCGCCTCCAACACCAAAACGACACCACTTTCCAACAACCAAGCCCACCCCCCTCACCCCCAGGCCCGCACACCCAACCCCCCAACACAAACCCCAACACCCATACCACCCAAACAATCGCCGCCCTCCAAGCCTCCCACAAAACCCAACTAAAAACCCTCCAAACGCTCCTCTCCGCCGCCGAAAAGCGCGAGTCCCGCCTCCGCTCAGACCTCCAATCCCTCCGCACCACCACCACCACCACCTCTACCACCCAAGACCAAGACCCGCACCTCGACACCCTATCCTCCGAAGTCGAGCGTCTGCAATCCATAATCGCAGCAAAGGACGAAACATGCTCAGCGATGGACGCGAAGATCGCTCGGTCCGTGGAGAAGCGTGAAAAGGAGTGGGAGAGGAGGGTTGAGTTGTTGCTGCGGGAGAGGGAAAGGATGGGGAAGGCGCTTTTGTGGACGTGGGGGGAAAAGGAGGTTGGGGATGGTGTTAAGGAGAATGTGTATGCGGAGGATGGGAGGAAGGTGAGGCAGGGGTATCGGTATAAGTATGCTAATAGGAATGGTAAGGGTAATGGGAGTGCGAGTGCGAGTGCGCGGAGGTGATAGTTGAGTTTTTTTCTGGTTCTCGTTTTGTCCTGTTTTTTTTCGGTGATTGACCTTGGGTATTCTTTTTCGGGTGTTACTGTACTATATAAATGATCACTGGGTAGGATAGGGATGGTTGGAGTTGGTCTGGGTATTGTCTGATATTCAATGCATTGTGTTTATATTTCTCAATTGTAAAACCGTCGAATAAACCAAAACAATCGATTCAAAATGGATATACAAAGATCAAGCAAAGTAAAATGGTATCATAGAACAACGGTCAAACAAACGCAAACCCTATCTAATACAAATTAGAAATTTCAACAAGAACAATATCCCCTTCTTCCCCCTCACATTCTCCTCGAATTAGGTATGATGGCCCGCCAGCAGACCTGTAAATCAACACCCAGAACCAGGCCTACCCGTCCAATTCGTCCCGCGATACGTATTCCCATCGATGAGATGAGCACCAACTCCAACTCCAACTCCAGCACCAGTGCCAACACCATGATCATCCGGACTCACGCACCCAGGCACCTCATCAAACGACACCCTCGACTCCAAAATACTATCCAAAGGCACAATCGAGCCAATCCCACCGTACGTACTACTCCTCGATCGTCTCGTACTCGGATAAACAACCTCCACATCATTCCTGCGCGGTACGGTCCCGATGTTATGACGGAGCGGGTAGTTGAAGTGTGGATGCGGACGGTGGAATTGTCGGGGAATTTGGGACTGGTCGAATTGGTATGGCTGGCTTGATCGTCTGTTGGCATTGGCATTGCTGCCGTTGCTCATGCTGTTGCTGTACCGGCGGGAGGGGAGACGGCGGGGTCTGTCGGATTGCTGTTGTTGTGGTTCTGGCGAGGGAGAGATAGTAATGAGTCTTGCGCCGGAGTGGACGCTGGCGGTGCTAGGGCCCTGGGTTAACGACTGGATGACAGGAGTCGAGGGCACGGAGCGGGGCTGGCTGGGGTGGTGCGGGTGGTTCGTAGAGCGAGGAAGGGGCTGGTTTAGGTGTGCGGTGGCAGTGTTGGATCGTTGGGTCTTCTGCGGCTCTGGGTCGACGACTTCGGGGGCATCAGCGGAGGACATTGTCATTGTTCGTTGGTGGTCTTCTTGTTGTGGGGAGTCTAGCTGGATGATTGGACAGCTTTGGTGCTTGGGAATATCTCCGGGGCGTGGGTTTGGTGGGGAGGTTGGTCTTTGGAATGATTCGGATGAGTCGGAGAGGAATGCTTTTTCTGCTTCTTTCTCTAGGTCGAAGTATATGTTTGGATTTGAGAGAGCACGGATTTGGGGATCATCTGACAAAGGGAGAGACATCGGAAGAGATCTGGGAAGGAACTTTCTGAGTGACATGGACGACTTTTGTCGCTTATGGTTGAATTTTGTAGGAATCTGTGGAACATCTGGAGCTGGTAGTTCTGCAATCAAAGGAGGCTCGTTGGTTCCTGAGGTCAAGATCGTGGATGTACGAGAAACAGGGTCCATCTCAGACGCAGCAGCCATGGGAGAAACAGATCCCGATCTGAATTCTGCAGCTTCAGGAATGAGAGTCGTACTGAGCTTTAGCTGAGGTTTTGCCCGAAATGGTGCTGGCTGAATAGCGGTAACGTCTTCAGGTTTTTCAAACATGGTATCGTCGTTCGATGGCCAATGTAGACCTGGTCCACCGTATGTCGGTTCTGGACGGCGACAATAGTACAGCATGTCGTTCTTCAGGGTATTCTCGCTGTCCCAGCTGGTGTTGGATGTGACGCTTCCATCGCGGGTTCTGTTCTGTTGATTGTAGAGGCCAAGTAACGAGACATCGTATGGACGGTCACAGAGCTCTCTTGAGCAGAAATATATGCAAATAGTAATGCTGCAACAGTACATTATTAGCCAAGGTCAGTCAATAATTGTCGTCTGGCTTACAAGGACAACACTGCCACTATAACTGCCGCCCTGTGGAGTGCACAACTAACACCAACCCTCCAATAACTGACATTCGAATCATCCGGAAGACATGAGGCTTGCTGGGAAACAACGACCAGACCCGCAACACTGGCTGCCAGCCAGATAGCGACATTCAATCGAAGGGCATATGCAGAAATAGTGCTTAGCGCATTCTTTTGCGGCCCACGCCCGGCCTTGTTAAATTGCCACGCCAGCAGACTATGAATAGACAGAAGCGGAACCGTAAAGAATGACTATATATCCAGTCAGTACCAGTACTCTAGTACCTTTGGAGAGTAAAGCATACCGCTATTAGGGAGAGGGTCAGACTCGGCATCATCTTGGAATCGACCCGTTTGATGCCATAGAGATAGAGGATCAGGACCCATTCGATGAGCGATTCTAGAAGCAAGACATAGAGAGAGATGAAGATCACAACTCTCGTCCAGGCTCCTCTATTCTTTGGCAATACTGGTCGGTTCACCATCGTGCTGGGTTTGGCGCGGAACATGAGACGACAACAGCTCTTAGAGCTGGAAAGATGCAGTGATGAGAAGACAGTCGATGCGAGGTAGAGAAAATATCAAAAGGCAATGGAGCCAAAGAGAGGATAATATAATTTCCAAATGAACAAGTACAATACAAAGACTAAAGAGGGCGATATATAGAGATCCACGCCATTTAAAAAGAAGACAGCAAAAGACAGAATCAAACGCGATAACACGGCTGCACGAGGGGCAGGAATGCACCAACAGATCCTATCGGGACCTGATCGCGTGTGAGATGCATGAAGGATACTGCACAGGATCGATCTCCTAGAGAAAGATGTCATAATTGGAATGCCATCTGTGACAAGAGTGCGCCGTTGAGCGGCTTGAGCCAGGATGGTACCTAGGATGGGAGATCCCTAGTATCGAACAAGAATGTTGGCAGCTATGATTCAGACAGCAAAGGCTAGACAGGTGTCTCGAAAAGTAGTATCACATCTGTCACCGCGTGTAAGGACGATTTGAGACATCGGTCCCTGGAGGGATATCCCATCCATCCCGTCAGATAGGAGACAGCCTTGACACACCAACGCTCCTGTGAATGTAGGATACAGGGCAACAAAGCCTTCTAGGGATTCAAGTGCTTTCTAGGAGGTTTTTGTCGGAGTTGTATGAGTGTTTTGGTGGTGAAAAAGAAGTGAAGTCCAGCGATGCCGTCAATCCCAAACAGGAAAGACCCACGTGATATCAATACAGATAATTTTGTATAATTGCCGTATTTAATCATATAATACAGACACAACTGTCTTTACTATGCTTCATTATGCCAGCACCAATCTTTATAATTTATATGAAAAATTTTGAAGCTATGATCTTGACTTGGTTGAGTGGTGATCTATATTACAGGAACTTGACTTCCTAACATCCAGACATCAACTACAGCTCCGTTTTGGGTGGAAGATACATATCCAGAAAGCCATAAACATAGGCAAGCATTAATTTCCTGCCGTTGAGCATGTCTTCGGCGCAGTCAGGTGCAACTGCGGCAAGCTTCCTAGAGAAGGGCTGATTCAAAATTAGCCTGAGCATAAGGTAGACACTTAGAATCCGGGGCTAGTTTACCAATATAAACGCTCTGAAAGTCTCACCCGTGTTGTACAAACTTTCTGCCGTAGAGGAGTTGGAGACTAATGTGTAGAAGAATTTTTCGTGTAGGGCCGTGTGGAATGGTCGGATTTGCACCTTGGCATACTGTGGTTGACCAGAATCATTAGTGCCTGGGAACATGGACCAGACAGATGCGTCTCTTCTGCTTACCTCGTTGTATTGGTGGCAGATCACCTGCTGTTCTTGCGGAGGGAGGGGGGCAGCAGTGCACGTCAGATCGCGATTCTTGTACTTGACCAAATTGTTGAAGGTATTCTCAGTTGGCTAGAAGGCGTTGGACACGGAGGCCAGGTCTTAGCTAATGAAACAGATGCCAACAAAACAGTAGTATCTCACATACCGGGTGTTTAGCCACGATGTTTGAGTCTGGGTCTTCTGAGCGGATAATATCAATCGATCTATGAGCGTCTAATTCCAGTTTGTTCAGAGACTCGAGCACATCTCTAGATGTGCATATCTCTGCCGAGGCAGCGGAGCACAGTCCCGGCAAAAAAAGACCAGCAATGGTTGTAATGTGGAGGCGCATGATGGTGGTATAGATACAAAATAATCGAGATAGTCAATGCAGGTTATTCTTCGCCAGGAGAGGAGTGAAGTCCTCTTAAATACTCACACCGTTATCCCTAGGTTTATCCCTTCATTCCCCTAGCTGTACATCTGCATGAGAAAAAAGTCCTGCCTTCCCCAACGGAAAGCAAAGAATAAGTTCTCCAGATGCATGCGTGACAGAACTTTGGCATCTCCGATCTATACCCTAGTCGTCATCACTCGGGGGGCAAAGTACTCCTCCGTACTCAGTACGGAGCGATACGAGGACCTTTGATAACCCCAGACCTGGAATTTGCACAGACGTTGGAGTGTATCCTTGACTTGGGCCCTGGCGAGCAAGCGGATTGGGCAAAGCAATAATTGGTCATTTGGAGTGATGTGCACAACGCATTTTCGTGCTATTGATGTCCTAAACAGGAAAGACGCACGTGATATAAATACAGATGATATAGTATAATTACCGTATTTAATACATCTAATACAGACATAACTCTTCATTAATCTATGCTCTTTCTTTCTCTTTCTCACTGCTGAGTCGAGCCTTCTCACTGAATACTCGTCAAAATGTAATCCACTAAGAGCATGAATGATCATGCATATGATCGTATTCGTCTTAGTGCCTATAGAATACACGAAGAAATCAGCATTCAGCCTCGTCTTCAGCCCCATCCTACCTTGGAACCCCCCCGCCTTCCAAGACATCAATTGACAAGGGCCTACTCATGACATAGATCAGGTCCAATACATGCAAATTGAATCCGGCATAATGGACAAGCAAAAATCCTATTGCGATGATATCGCATGCGGAAAATCATGTTGGCAAGAAGCCTCAGAAAAGATACGCGCGGAAGATCCCAAACTATACAAACAGCTGGAGGAGATGCTGGCAACGCAGAAACGACCTTTATCCCGCGCGGACATGTCAAACCAAATAGCGCAGTCAATTGAGGCCAGCAAAAATCGAATACAGGATCGAAATGTACTTTTTCCTTGGAAAAATCGGAACGAGGGCGACAAGGCTAGGGTACGGAAAGCCATGGACAGTATACCCAAAGCTGTGATCGTGTTCAGGAATATGGGATCTGCTGCGGCGAGTCTCGACCCGTCGCACGTGGGAGTTGCTGGGGCTGGTGCCAATCTGATTTTGCAGGTACCTATTTACATTCTACGAATTTAATAAAGACATGGCTAAGTGCAACAGTTCGTACGGAGTGGCAGCGAGTAAAATGCTGCTGTGCTTTAGGGGCTGGCTCAAATCTCCCCGATAATCACAAGATATACGAAAGTTGAAGAGATATATATTGAACAGAGAGAAAAACACCAAGATACAAAACTCAACAAAGACTTCAGAGCGCAGGTCGTCAATCTCTACGCCAATATTTTGGCGTACCAGGTAGCGATTACCTTGCACTTCAAGCGACACACCATAAGTGAGTTCATTCTAGCTCGATCAAGCATATCACGCATATCTAACATGTTTCTTCCTTTCAGCACAGTATGCGAGAGCAATTCCAAAGATCGACGATTGGAACGGACTCTTGCAGGACATTCTGAGGGCAGATGCAGAGTGCAGAAATTTTACCCAAATATTTGATTCCGAAGGTATCTCGACCATCCCTCACATCAGCTTGAAGAATTGCTTACAGATCTGAACAGAGCAGATGATTCAACACCGCGAACTGGAGAACACTGGAAGAACAGGATCAACAGATGGAAAATGTGTCTCATCAGTTGGACCAGATATATGAGCAGAGTCAAGCACTCATGAACCGTGCTGATCGACATGGTATGTAGAGATCATTAATTCATGCACAGACGGCTAATAATTGAGCAGAGAATATGGCCATCCTGGAATGGATTTCAAGCGCACCTCCCAAGGACGATCATACCCGGACTCTAGAGCACGGAAAACTGAACCGCGAGTACGCAAACTCACGGAAATGGCTCTTTTGCCGGGAAGAATTCCAGTCGTGGAGCAATGCCGACGATGACAGTCTATCAATACTGTGGTTGCGCGGACCAGGTGAGTGAAAGCCATCTTCCCAGTCGAACTCCATTGCTAAGTTGCTCTGGTTGTGTATTTAGTTGGCACAGGCAAGAGTTCTCTAGTGAAAAACTAACAGAAGAATTAAAGCTGTCTTATTATTGAACATTTTTTGAAAACACCGCTTCCTCTCTACAAAGAAGCCGATCGGGTCGCATATTTCTACTGTTCGAAAAAAAAACAAGCGACAGAAGATGCAAACAGTCCGAAGACCGTTCTTCGAAGTCTTCTCCGTCAACTAGCTTGGTCATAGACAATATCTCAATTGCACCCATCGTCAAAGAGAGATACCGAGAAGCGCAGCAAGCCCAGGGCTATGAGGGGAATGAGCTGCTGGCAGATGACTGCGTTGAGCTGTTAACTCAGCTCATCCCATCCCATCCCATCATCACACTAAAATCATCATTGACGCTTTAGACGAATGTTCTGACTTTTACGAGCTTTTGTCTTATCTGGAGGAGATAGCGTCCGCATGTCAGGGAAAGGTCAAATTCCTTCTTTCGAGTCGAATGAATGTTCCTGTGCAGCAGGTCTTTCCGGAGAGTGCTAGGATCGAGATTGGCCTGGACAGCAAGGAAGATATTGATTTCTTTATCAACACCGAGATGAAACGGAATAAGCGGCGTCTAGCTCAGTGCAATGCATTGGATCTTAGGACGAGATGGCCGAGACATTGAGCCACCGAGCTCAATGAATGTGAGTGCCAAGATTGAAGCCCGTACGTACCTTTTACTAACATATAATATAGGTTCCGATGGGTTGAGCTGCAACTGAACACCTTTAGTTCAAAATCTACCATAAAGCGCCGAGACTCTTTCAAACGAAAACTCGAAAAGCTTGACCAAGAAGTTGGAATGCCAGTATTGGGGGACGTATATGACGACATTTATGACATGAATACGCCAGAGCCCGAAGACCGTGGTATTGCAGAGCGAGCATTTAAATGGGTAATGTGTTGCCAAAGACCCTTGAGCATTGAAATGCTCGTGAAAGCGGTATCCCTAGATCCCGATGGCAACGTCGACGAGGAGGTCGGTGCAGACTACATTCTGGACATTTGCAGCAACTTCATCATCGTTGATCATAATCAGCTAGTCCAGTTTGCACATCTCTCGGTTCGAGAATATCTGATGAACGGTACAAAGCATGGACATACCACCGTCGACGCACACAACCAGGCAGCAATGACTTCTCTATTGTATTTGCTTGCTGGCAATTTTCAAGATGGCACCGACACCGACGAGTTGCTTGATTATACAGCATTGTATTGGCCATTCCATTGTAGCTTCGCATTGGTGAATGAGGGAAAAGGAACCCCACTATAGGGCCTCCTCAAGAAGTTCCTGGTCACTGGAGAGCCTAGCAATAGTTTTATCACGTGCTTGGAAATCTGGGCAGCTGCTTTGCAGAGGCTACACCCCGATGAAGCTCATTTATTGGAATATAAGCTAAATGCCGATCTCTGTCCACAAAATTTCCAATATTTACAGCATGTGCTTGGGATTTCCAGGAAGTGGCACAAATAGCATTATCCGGAGCCATCAACTTGGATGGGCGAAATTGTGATGGCGATACTGCTTTGGCTGTAGCCGCCGAGTTCGGCAGTATCGAAATCGTAAAGTTGCTACTGCAAAACGGAGCAGACGCGAACGCAGCTGGAAGTCAAGATGGCCATACCCCTTTGCATCACGGATATAGGTTACTCGAACTTGTTGAACTTTTGATCGACCATAGGGCAGATGTCACCAAGGCAGTCGAGGGACCCATTAATAACGGATGGACAGCGTTACATCTAGCAGTATGCTGGGGCTTGAAGATATAGCTCAGCTCTTATTAGCTAAAGGAGCCAATGTCAACGCAAAAGCTGGCAAGGGCGCAACAGCTCTGCATACTGCAGCTGGATTAGGGAAAAGTGCGATGGTACAACTGCTTCTCAAGAATGGCACAGAGGTAGAGCTAAAGAGCAACAATGGTGAAACGACTCTGCAGAAAGCAGCAATGAATGAGAGTGAGGAGGTCGTGAAGGTCATCCTAAAGCACCAGGGCTTAGATTCTGATGCTGAGAAGTGGCTTCGACAAGTACAATTCTACAATGCAGTTTGTGAAGGTGAAGAAACCACTGTTCGACTACTGCTGGAGAAGGGGGTCGACATGACGGTGAAAAATGTCCGGGGAGAGCATCCAATCCACTGGGCTACGTCCTGTGGTCACAAGGAGATTGTATCTCTACTTCTACAGAAAGGAGCAGATATCGATGAGAGGGATAAATTTGAAGAGACGGCGCTGCTTTTGGCTTGTAAGGAGAGAGATAAGGAAATAGTGCCTTTTCTGCTGGATAACGGGGCAGATATAAACGTTATACAGGGGCGAGATGGAGATAAATGCACGGTACTTTCTTGGGCGACTGCTTGGGGAGAGCCGCAACTGGTGGAACTGCTGTTGAAGCGAGGAGCGAATCCGAAAAGTGTGGATGTTGATTCGCTGAAGCGGCGCAAATACGCTATTCCAGAAGACTTTGAGAGGGCATTGAAAATGGTTCGTTCTCACTTGGAAGGAATCGCCCTATGATCGGTCCAAATGTTCATGGTATGGAATGAATGGTCTTCAGTTTTAATTCTACATGCAATCTATGTACAAGATCCACCTACAGCGTCGCAATGCACTCAATTTCCACATCAGTGTTCAAAGGCAGTGTCTTGACGGCAACACATCTAGACGAAGTTAGTACACTCCCGAGAATATATACCACAACGAAATACATACGTCCGGCATGGCTTAACATCACCCCAGTACTGTGTGTACACCGAGTTCATACCGGCAAAGTCATCCATATCAGACAAGAATACATTAACCTTGACGACCTTGTTGATATCTGATCCGGCGGCTTCGAGGATATGGGTCAGGTTTTTGATGCATTGGTGCTGTTACTATCAGCATACTTCATCATTACCAACAGCATGTATAGATGGGACGCACCGTATGAGCCTTGACATCTCCATCGACGATCTTCCCCGTCTCTGGGTCCATGGCCACTGCACCGGAACAGTAGACAACGCCTCCAGCGACAATGGCCTGGGAGTAGATGCCCGGCAAGGGCTTGGGTGCTTTATCGGTCAGGATGGGGGTTTTGGTAGACATTGTGTATATTCAGTATCAAACTTCGACAATTGTAAGATAGAAACAGGGAAAGGAGTAGAAGAGGGTAGAGTTTCCCTTTTAAATAAATGTCCAGCGGGGTAATGCAAGCCTGTAGGTCTTCTCTTATCTTCAACCCCGCAATGCAACGCAACCTAGACCGAGGAATGAAACCGCATTGGAATGCAACATCTACGACAGCGCGGTATGACCTCGCCAGGTTTAAAAGAGCGTCCGGACCCGGTTACCTTTACTACCACGATTAACCGAAAACAACACTAAATAGTTATTGACAATGTCCGCCTCCCACCCTCAACCACCATATCCCTTGCATGAGTCCGTCAAGAACCTTTTGAATCCTGAATACGTCGCTTTCTACAACCAGCATGTCATCAACCTTCAACAAGTGCATCTTCAGCCCGTCGCTGCATCGCGAACTAGCGGTGTTTTGATCCCGGGTGGTGGTCCGTTGCTGGAGGTGGGTAAGACGGAGGATATCGCCATCCAACGGCGGGTTACCGAGGGACCGGATGTCCAGGTTCGCGTGTTCACGCCCAAGGGTGAGAAGCCGGGGGTTGGATGGCCGGTGATGTTGTACTTCCACGGTGGAGGATGGGTATTGGGAAACATCAACACGGAAAATACGGTGTGCACGAATCTCTGCGCGAGGAGTAACTGTGTAGTCGTCACGGTGGACTATCGGTACGTCTATCCTACATACTATCCCTTTCTTTTTCGCACCCGCGCGTACGTGAACTGACTCATGTCCATGTAGCTTAGCACCAGAGAATCCCTGGCCAGCCGCTGTGCACGACTGCTGGGAAGCACTGCTCTGGCTACTCGCAGAGGGCCCCTCGCGACTCTCGGTCAACACCTCCAGAATGGCTACGGGAGGCTCATCGGCGGGTGGTAACCTGGCCTGCATCATGACCCAGAAAGCCCTAACGCTCTCACCTCCTATCCGGTTTCTGGCACAATTGCTCTCCGTCCCTGTCACGGATAACACGGCGACGGTATCTACTAACTCCGCATTCCGGCTATACGAACACACGCCCGCGCTCCCGGCGGCGAAGATGGAATGGTACCGGGACCATTATCTCCCCAACGAGGCCGACCGTACCAACCCCGAGGCTAGTCCACTGTTTTATACCGGGGATTGGTCGTTGTTACCGCCTGCTTTGATCATGGTGGGTGAATTGGATGTCCTCCGGACGGAAGGGGAGGAGTATGGCACGAAGTTGGAGAGCGCAGGGGTGGAGGTGAATTTGCAGGTCATGAAGGGAATGCCGCACCCGTTTCTGGCGATGGACGGGGTATTGGAGGAGGGGAGACGGTCGATTAGTTTGATGGTTGAGATGCTTAATCTGGTTTTCCATTAGCCGTTCAGGGGCTCTGTTTCTTTTTGTTTCCTTTGTTTAGAACAGTTCCTTAATGTTGTATCCTGTGGTTTCCACTAGTGGGTACAACTAGTGCCACCGAGTTAGTTCGCTTTAGGGTTCCATAAGATGAGGCTCGGTGCACAGACGACATTTCAGGCCCGGCCAGCCCAATGGGTTTATCTCGGAGATACTCGCTTCTGGCATTGATACGAGATGCATATTATGAGCCCAATTAAGAGTCCAATTGTTGGGTTATGTACCGTTCTTTATTCCCTGTAGCATGATACTGATCAGAATGATACCATTTTAAGAACAAAGCACACCGCAAAAAAAAACCCTTCTCATACCCAAAACAGCCACGCCAGAAAACAGTGGACCGGCCGACGTTGATCCGGGAGGATCCCGGCGAGATTTTCTCAAACACACAAAGAGGGTTTAATTATGATAGACGTTGGATGGCAATTCCTAGTACACAGGAGATTTTTCAAGCTTTTCTGACTTCCTGTCTTTTGCGGAAATCCGTATTTCGTACCCGGTGTCTCCGTAGCATTTGTACTTACTTAGTGTATGTAAGTCGGCTAATCGGCCTGATTGGGAAATAGGGGGCATTTGATACCCTGTTATTGGCGTTCCTGAAGGATACAGACTAGCCACATCGGGAATGCCAAGAATAGGGTCCATGGGCTGGTCACGGGACCTGTCCGTGGATCGGTTTTGTACCTGCCGATTATTACACTTACTGTTAACTGTCAATGCTCTGTCTTTATTTCTCTATGTTCGAAGAGCAGCTCAAAGAAGTTCGCTATGGGTATCTGGTCGAGTCGAGTCAGTTCGGTTAGGTCTGACTCACGGTACACTCCGGAGATACCAATCAAGGCCCTCCGCTATGCACCAGGATCTAGATGACTACGCCAGGTGGGCACTTGACTTTCCTACACTTCCCTGTTCAAGCACGCTGACCCTCCTTGGAAGTTCTATCTAAACGGATGCGGCTCTTCCATGGCTCCACGATGAACAGGCACCGGGTCTAATATCGCCGCGAGAGCCTGTTACTGGCTCATCGACGACATTGGCCGTGGATATCTCCGGTCTGTGGCCACTCGGATGTTTCTACTGCGGCATTGACCAATAGCCGCAGCGCCCTAAGCTTTTTCGTATCATTTAGTTCCTGTGTGACTGCGCTAAACGGGGATGTCGAGCGCGAAAAACCGCCGTGCTAGGTTCGTTCATGCAGGGTGCCCCGATTTGAGTTCATTTTAGATTGCGGTGCCTGAATGCTCATTTTACAGATGGGTTGGGAGCCTGGAGGGGTGTAGATGCCTGGAGGCGAATTGGCCATATATACACGGTCCTCGACCGGTTGCTGTTGAATGCCAGTCGGTTCATTCGTGCGGCATTCCCTTCAAGTAGGCCTTCGTCTGCGTCCTTTCGTTTCTTGTCTTGTCATTCGTTAAGCAAGACTTAACCTGACCCGGTAGTCATTCTTTAACTGAGACCATGGTATCCAGTGTATTTGTCGCCACTGTCGGGGCCCTGGCACTGGCCCCATTTGCTTCGGCTTTTGACGCACAGGCAAAGACCAACGTTGCCGTCTACTATGTACGTCCATATTCGACAGGTCTCGTGACGTTGCGCTGACTTCACTAGGGCCAAGGTACCAACCAGTCACGACTGAGCCACTTCTGCCATGAGACGTCCTTGGACATTATCAACCTCGGCTTCGTCAATGTCTTCCCCGACCAAGGCGTTCTGGGAATGCCCGGTACCAACTTCGGTAACCAGTGTGATGGTCTGACCTTGAATGTTGGCAATACCTCGACCCAGTTCCTCACGGGTTGCCATCAATTGGCGGAGGATATCCCGATTTGTCAGGCGGCGGGCAAGAAGGTCTTCCTTTCGCTTGGAGGTGATTCTGGCTCGGTGCAGAAGATCGAGTCTGATAAGTCGGCTATTAAGTTTGCCGACTTACTTTGGGATTCGTTTGGTCCAAACAACAACAAGTTGGCACTCCTTGGAAGCCCTCGTCCCTTTGGTGATGCTGTTGTGGATGGATTTGACTTTGATATCGAAGTTGGTGGTGGAAATGGTACGTTGACCCTAGCATGCGCCTATGTTGACTTAAAACTAATGAGGCTGGTGTCCTAGGCTACGCAACCATGATCAACCGTCTCCGCGAGCATTTCGCAGAGGACCCTTCCCGGACCTTCTACATCTCAGGCGCGCCCCAATGCCCTATTCCCGATGCTCAACTGGGCGACGCCATTGCCAACGCTGCGTTCGATTTTGTCTGGGTCCAGTTTTACAATACTGAAGGATGCTCTGCTCGGAACTTTGTGCAGGGCAATGGGAATCCGGGATTCAACTTCGACGAATGGGTGAATGTCATCAAGAACAGCGCTAACCCTGACGCGAAGCTCCTTGTTGGTCTGCCTGCCAGCTCTGGCATGGCTATTGAGGGATTCTACTTGAATCCTGCCGAGGTCGAGCCCTTGGTTGCCAAGTACATGAACAAGTATCCCGAGACTTTCGGTGGTATTATGCTCTGGGAGGCAACTGCATCTGACAATAATGTCATCAATGGTGGGACCTATGCGGACAACATGAAGGCGATCCTTTACAGGTACGGTCCTAAGCCTACGCCTACGCCCACGCCTACTCCCTCGCAGACTCCTTCCCAGACACCATCGTCGTCCAGCATTCCTGTTCACCCGAGCAGCCCGGTCCCGTCAAGCTCCCCGATTTCTTCGGAGACCCCAGTGCCATCTAGCACCCACACTCCTTCGAGCTCGCCTGTTGCATCGACTTCGTCTTCCGTCCTGGCAACTTCGAGCACCAAGGCTTCTAGCTCTCTTGTCTCGACTGAGATGTCGCAGTCGAGCTCGCAAGTTTCTTCCAGCTCTGTTGCTCCATCGAGCACGCCAATTGCTTCCGGGAGGCCAACTGAATCGCACTCTTTGACTTCCTCTTCGGCCCTGACAACGTCCACGCCAGTTGTGTCGAGCACACCCAAGGCTTCTAGCTCTCCTGTCTCGACTGGAATCTCGCGGTCGAGCTCTCAGGTTGCTTCTAGCTCTTCTACTCCAGTCAAGTCATCAAGCTCGGTGATTGCTTCTAACAAGCCCACCACATCTGGTAAGCCTACGCCATCGAGCTCCGTGGCTGTCTCTACTTCCAAGTCTGAGATCACTTCATCTGCGGTGCCAACTGCATCAACGAGCAAGCCTGTGGTCTCCACCAAGTCTTCGTCTGGCTCGACCACTTCCACTCCTGTTGTTAGTTCGCAGAGCTCTGTCGTTCCCAGCGCGTCCTCGTCTTTGGTCGGTGTCCCGGGATCCAGCCCTGCAATCACTCCTTCGGCCTCGGTCATTGGTGTTCCCTCCACTACTACAGAGTCCAAGACGATCACCACTGTGATTGTGACTTCGTACATTGACATCTGTCCTACTGGATTCACAACGGTTACCACTACTTACACCACGACCTATTGCCCTGAGACCGCCGTGCCGGCAACCCCGACCACGGAGCCATCTGTTCCCGTGGGATGGACTACGGTCGCAACTGTTTGCACTCACTGTGCGGCGACGCCTACTACCGTGATGCTCACGCTGCCTCCTACTGCTACGGGTGCCGTGTCTACTGGAGCAGTTAACGACAACGGATCTGGCAACGCTGGCAACGCTGGCAACGCTGGCAACACCGGCAACGCCGTTACTGGAACCGAGACTGGTAGTACCATCACTGCTACCGTCACTAGCAACCAGTCCATCTCCAAGCCCTCCGGTGCCCTCCCCAGCCAGTCTGGCAGCCTCAGCCAGCCCCAGGGCTCCGCGGGGACTTCCCTCCGTGTCCCGACCGGCGCCGTCACGCCTTCCGGACCCGTTAGCACCCCATTGATCCGCGTCCCTACTGGTACTGGATCCGTCCGGGCCTCGTCGACCTTGTACGCCAGACCCACGGGAAGTGCGTCGGGAGTTCCTGTTTCCCCTAGCGGTACCACTGGAACCGAGCCGTTGTTTACCGGTGGTGCGGCGAAAAATGTGGGTAGTGGAGTCGCGGTGGTTATGGCTGTCGCTGCGGTGCTTCTGTAGATGTGGGATGGATAAATGGTGGTATATAATGAGGGGGAGCTGTTTCGGATGTAATTGTGTACATACGCTCATTTGTACTTTAATATGTTACGTGGAAAGAATCATACGGTAATCGGATTGGCGGATGGACCACATTGCCCAATCAGATCGCCATAATAGAAGCTCCCAGCCAAGACGGGAGGATCCGGTAGGGCTCACGCGGTAATACCATACATCCATGGTTCAGTCCAGTCCCTGTTATCCCTACTAAATGTAAACATATAGACCTCTGTAGACGAATTAATACTCATGCTATGGAGTATGTGTGTATATTTTTTTCTGCATAGCGCATACCATACATAGCACGGAATACAGTGTGACCCCATCCCACACCAACATGATAGGCAGATCCCGGGGTCGGTGTGGTGTGGCTGAACTGAAAATTAAAACCCCCGACTGGGGCCAAAACACCGCCGACCCCGTTTTAGCCACCGTGTTTAGAGGAGTTCGCATTTTATATAAATAGGTGGGCTGTCTTTTCTTTCTGACACTTCACCATCTTCATTCTACCATATTTTCAACCTCTATCAATTTTCCAGAACAGTATATACATATACACAACCGCCAAAATGGGCCTCATGGACAAAATCATGGACAAAGTCATGGAAAAAGCCCAAGGCGGCGGCGGCGGCGGCGGCTACAGCGAACAACCCTCCCAATCCTACGGCGGCGGTGACTCCGGCTACAGCTCCGGCCCCCCTCCAGGAGACCTTCCTTATCCCTGGGTCTCACGCTATGATCCGAACAGCGGGCGCACATACTACGTGAACGAGCAGACCAGTGAGACGAGCTGGGAGCATCCTGGTTCCAGCGGTGGTGGTGGTGGTGGTGGATACGGAGGAGGGGGATACGGTGGTGGATATGGTGAGAGCTCTGGATATGCGCCGCAGGAGCAGGAGCAGAAGAAGGATCATAGTATGCTTTATGGGGCTGGGGGTGCGGCGTTGGGGTTGGCGGGTGGTGCGTTGGCGATGCATGAGGGGGAGAAGATTCGTGAGTTCACTTTGCTGCGGGTATGTAAAGGAGGTTACTAACGGTGACAGACGATGGATGGGAGGATAAGAAGGATGACATTCAAGAGGGTGTGCAAGATTTCCCTGAGAATGCCGCCCACTGGACTGGTGAAAAGGTGCGCTATCCTACCCCCACAGCCATTGAAATGGACCAAAACTAATCGACACGCTAGGTCGGCGAAGCCGAAGAAATCCCCGACAACATCGAAGAAGGCTGGGACCGCTTCGGAGACAAGGTCGAGAACAGCTGGGACAGCACCGTAGACAATGTCGAAGATGCTCCCGAGAACGTCGCCGAATGGACAGGTGAGAAGGTCGGGGCTGTGGAATCATTTGGCAGTGATATCGGGGATGCGTATGATGAGGGTGAGGCTGAGGGACGGGGTGATGATGACTGGTGATTGCCTCGCGAGCATGAGGACTAGGATTTGGGATGATTCGGTATAAAAGTGCATAAATGTAGCACTGACTGGTTATGAAATTTTGATATCCAAATGAAGAATATGATTACTGGACAATATGGTTGCATCCGTTCTTTCTACTAGTCTGTATTGGGTATAGAAGCTTGACTGTCTCATTAGGAATTGGTGTAAACACACCCATGAAAAAAGTCGTTTGTCTTTCAGCTGCCATGTGTCAGATCGATGCTATATAGGATGAAGTATCTAAGCATAATCCATGGTCGCCATACACTATCTGTGACTGTTACCAGTCGTGCTAAGGACAATCAGCGTTGGTCTCATCGCTACTGCTGACTTCTGATGCAGATGAAGTCATGACTTCTTGAGCAGCAAGAAGAAGTGCCGCTGGACTTACTGTCATCTATCTATGTGCGTGCACAGCCCATTTGCATGTGTCAAGGTGACCGAGAAGGTCATAGATGGCCTTATATAGGCGGTAAAACTTGTCCTATATCTCCGGAGTGTTGAAATATGAGAAAACCATTCCCATCTCTTTTATGCTTTGCAACTGTTGGTCTTGGGACATGGACTTGTACTTGTCCTTGCTGGCTGGCTCGTTGCCGGTAAACATCTTTAAGAGATTTAGCACTCTCTGATACAGCCTCAAGGTTCAATCCACACTTACGCTGCCCTTCTTCCCATTCCGTCAAGCCAGGAAAGTCGTCAACCTGTTCGGATGGGCTTCGCTACCCAGGTCTGCCAGCACTTGGGACTCCCCCAAGGCGCCAACGCGAATTAGCTGTCGTTATCCATCGTTGCATAAATGAGCAAATGTGTTGGGAACGACACGCTGAGGAATAGACCAAGATGCTAGTGTTTTCTTGAATGTCATATGCCATATCAATGCTATAGGATGAAATATGTAGGATGAATTGTAAGACAATTCGACTTAGGGTTGAAGTTGAAGGAGAGAGGCTGGCTATGAATGGCCCCAATCGAGTCACCAGGTGAAGCCCTCGAGGAAATAGTCAGCTGTGAATGTTTGTCAGTGACGGGCCCTCTCTCATGTTGGAACCAAATCACTATGATAGTTTGCGCGAATACACACTATTAGAAGCATTTTTCTACTTAGATATTAAATACCATCCCTAAGAAAATCTAATCACTCAGTCGCAATACCATGGACTATTTTAGTGTAATCCATGTGCACTAAATCCGAGGGGGAGGCTGAGGCCTGAGGGGCGAGGTGGTTGGCTATTTTAGACCAAAGAATTAACACGTAACTGGAACCATAAAAATGTAAAAATGCGCACTTACTCATAACCTCGAAAATCAGACGATACACTAGCGCTTTTCTGCTTAAAAGACGAGGGGCCATAAATACGAGCTCAACCGCTTGCAAAGATGCGACTCCAATATTTTTGACAGTACCATGGCTTCCCATCCACCTTTATTAACGCTCCCCTTCGAGCTCACCTCAGTGATTATATTTAACCTGTTCAACCGGGACATAAAACACCTGCGCCTAACATGCAGGTCCTTCCTTAGCACAGCGCGCCTACGCTTAACCCGTGTATTCTATTGTGCTGGCAGTTTTATCAGAATTTGGTACAGCAGCAGGAGGATGTGTTCCTTATGGGAACGGATGTGGATGCTCGGGTTTATGGGCTGAAGCGGTTTCCGGCGTTGAGGAGGATGACGATTACGCCTGCGGCACATGGGTGGATTTTTGCGCCCTTGTACGAGACGCCTATGATCCGCGCCCTGGTCCCTGCCAAAGGGCTTCAATTACCCGATTCCACGCAGTTGGCCAACAACGCCAGATGGCGGGACGCGGCCGGAGGTTTATGCTTGGGAGAGTTCTGAAGAGACAGAGAAGAACAAATGGCGTGGGTTCCGGGTCGTCATGCGCGTGCTCGCGCAGCACCAGGAAGACCACCATACCACTGAGTTGCGCATCAATGTCAATGGACTACATACAGGCCTTCATTGCCGCATCTTCGACCGGTCATGCGAGGAGTACGACAATTTTGTGCGGGTAATTCGCCGCCCTGGCTTCTCGCATCTGCACCTTGACCTCATGGTCCAGCTCCAAGAATACGAGGACTGGTCATCTTTCCGCAGTGGGTATCTGTATCGCGCACTAGCATAGGCGCCAGGCCTGCAGCATATCAGGCTGCGTACCAATATTGATTCTGGTTCATATTTCGGAGCTAGGGTGGAAGGCAGCGCTGGGAACACGATCCACTTCATGGCCCTGCAGAGCATCTTCCCAGTTGAGAGGTGGCCAAAACTCCAATATTTTGGACTCTCGAATTTTCTCATTACGCAATCTGATGTGATCTCTCTTCTGGCTACGCTGCCATCGACTCTGCGTTCGGTGGAGCTGAGCTTCCTCGAGTACCTGGACCATGGCGGTCATTGGTACGGTCTACTCCAGGATGTACGTGATAAGTTGGGCTAGCGGGAACGAGATAATAAACCCAAGGTGATTGCTAGTATTGCGCTGTGGCCGCCTCGTGCTGGCTTTGGTATCTGGATCGAAAAGGACACCACCAAATTTCTCTACGAGGACGGTCCATGTCCGTTTAGGGAAGAATCTCGTCGGAGTATTCTACCCGGAACAGGAATTATGCGAGATACATTTGAGCCGGAGCATGAGCGGCCTTATACAAATCATTCGACTCTGGCGAGGATGGGGTATATTATAAAGAGTAAGTGGGATGGGCGGGGATTGTGATTGATAGCACCCTGTCTGCATTTCATGGCTGTTAGTCGCGTTTAATTATAAAGGTTAGATCTGGTGTTGGCTTTTTCTGTTATATTGCTTTTTGGCTCAATTCGATTCCACATAAAATATATATATGTACGCCCGGCATGGTGATCTCCTGGTGATCCTGGATATAGATCGGTTCCCCGCATATTCCGGACCTCGGTTGCGGAGTTGCTTGCAGACCTTTAGTGTCATTTTCAAAACATTTAACTTCGCATTGCTAAACTACTTGGGAGTGAGTTTTCAGAAGTATAGGGACATCAAACCTGAGACAGCAATGGCACCCCCACTGGCAGGCATTCGCGTAGTCGAACTGGCAGGCCTGGCACCAGGTGAATCCACTGACTGACTCTACCAGTGAAGTGAACAATGCTAATATGAGCGCAGGCCCCTTCGCCGGCCTCCTCCTCTCCGACTACGGCGCCTCCGTCCTCCGAATCGACCGCCCCAAACCCCCCCAAGCACCCCCTGCCCCCGACCAACTCACCCGCCACAAAACCTCCATCACCCTAGACCTCCGCGACAAATCCTCCCATGCCCTCCTCCTCTCCGTCCTCCAGCATGCCGACATCCTCATCGACCCCTACCGCCCCGGCGTCCTGGAACGCCTCGGCCTGGCCCCGGCAACGCTCCTGAAACACAACCCGCGTCTCATCGTTGCGCGGATGACGGGCTTCCGCCGCGACGGCAAGTACAAGGATATGGCGGGGCATGATATCAATTACATCGCTGTGTCGGGGGTTCTCTCGATGCTGGGACGGGATAAGGAGCCGCCCTATGCACCGGGGAATTTACTTGGTGATTTCGCGGGTGGTGGGGCGATGTGTTTCGTTGGCATCTTACTCGCGTTGCTTTCCCGTGTGCATACGGGGAGGGGACAAGTCGTTGAAGCGAATATGGTAGACGGATCGGCGTATTTGGCCGCGATGCCGCGACTCACGCGCAAAACACCGCTATGGAACCAGCCAAGGGGGCAGAATCTTCTCGACGGTGGGTGTCCGTACTACGATACCTACGAAACACAAGACGCGGGGAAATACTTTGCAGTCGGCGCATTAGAGCCACAATTCTACGCTGCCCTACTCCGCGGCCTCGGTTTCAAGAAGGACGAGCTACCCCCGCGCGAAAACAAGGCGAATTGGCCAGTATTGCGGGACGCATTCGCAACCCGCTTCAAGCAGAAGACGCGACAAGAATGGGAAACCGTATTCGACGGAACAGACGCATGCGCAACACCCGTCTTCGAGCAAGACGAGCTGGAACAAACCGGGTACGAGCAACGCCCCGCGGTGCATCTGACTGCGACGCCGGGATACAGCATCCCGGACGATGACGGAGGGTGGAACGGGCGAATATTGTCCCCCGGGACAGGAGGTGAGAAGACGCTAAAGGAGTGGCTTGGATGGGAACGGGGACGGGAGTTTGAGGCGAGAGAGGACGGGGCGTTGGCTTTGGTGCGGAGTGTGAGTGTCAAGACCAAGGCCAAGTTGTAATCCACTGCACTTTTCCCCATAGAGAGAGTCATGACGGACACCCCGAAACGGTGTCGTCGGGACGGATGTTGATTGGTCGGTACCTCGGACATGGCGAGCTGAGGGTCCACTAGATATGTAATGTGATTGGTCGGAAATGCCGTATTGATGTGTTACGGTGTATTGTCAGGTACGAGGGAATACGGTATGCGATGAAATGGCTGCATTTCCTGTTTGGGAAGCTATGTCGTATGATAGTTGGCAGATAGATGCACATACAGAATTATGGCACAGATTGACTCTCACACTAAGCAATTAGAATCTGCCATTTAATTGACGAGCGATACTCTCCCTTTAGCCACCCCTTAGCCACAGCTCGAAGATTCCACGATCTAACGGATAAATACCGGGGGAATGAAGTGATATCGGACATTTGCTCCACACTTCGGAGCCGGTCTTGAAACGGTGGAAAATGTCAAGTGGATGATGCACCAGCCACTCGAGTGGCAGGGGCGAAAATCTCACAAGTTGCGCGGTAATAAGCGAGCCATTTGTCAAGCCACAATCCTTTCATTTCAATGGGTATGTTTGTCTTGTCGAGCTCATCGATGAATATGTGCCCGTACTGCTTGGACCTAACGAATCGCTGGGATGTGAATCTGTAGCCGGAACTGATACCTGCTAGTTCTCCTAAGCGTAATCACGGGTCATCTTGCAAGCGCTCCATATGCGCATCGAGAATAGCTGATGCGATTTGCGGATCTCGAAGCTTACTTCCGCAGGATTCGATCCTGCGCTCACTTAGATCTTCAATTTTCTTCGACGGTGACCATGTCCAATTCATCAGACAGAACGACCAGACAGCGCTGACAACGGAAGAGGACCGCGAATTCCCACCTGGGTGGTAACACTCTTCCAGGTTAATTGGGACTTTCTTCCATGAGATGTTAGTTCGCATTTAATGCAATAGCAAAGACAGAATACCCTGCCATTATTTGTTTGAGACGCAATGTGGTCCGGCCCATCCGCGATATGTGTCTTAGAATGGACTTCAGCTGCGCTGTATTCGGAGTATGGCTCCCGTGTAAAATGAGAATGAGCGCGATGGTGGTTCCATATTCACCGCCCTGAGAACTCCCAAGTATGTCTACTTGCGAATGTAAATTAGACGTAGTTCTAGATGCAGCCAAGTGGCTGAAAAAGAAACCGCCAAAGATTGGCAGACCAACAGTCTGTTTGTCGTCGTATCTCCTCAATACTTTCCCACTAGTTAGGGTGGTCGATTGGACGTTTGTCTGATCGTCTCGCAATTGGACGAGGATCACCAAGCATAGCACATGTCGATAGATTCCCTTTGGAATTATTAAAGCCATCCCGGCATAATAAACCAAACGAAAGACTCACTTTGGCTATCCGCATTTAGTTCAAGGGAATTGATCATCTATGATCTTTTCATCGTCCTCGTTTGCTGTACTCGCTCCTCGTTTGCCTGGCTTGTGATATACTTCTGGGAAACAAAACATTCGCTTCAGATGCAATTTGCTTGGAGCTGCATAGAGTTTCTCCCTTAATGCTCCCGACAGATTTATGTCATATCATTGAAATCGTCAATGGCACCATCTCAGAGAGTATTTTTTGGGCTTGTATGTACCTGTGCATATTCCCAACCACATTTGAACTTGCAGTCAGGTTCTGGGCAAGAAAATACTTGCTTCAGACATCTTATCTTCGGCCTGGGGCCCAACTTCTTAACCCCTGTCAAAGGAACCCCGTTCGAGAGGAATGTGCGGGGCGTGTTGTATTTATTATAAGCTACACCTTATTTCACCACATGAATTGTATAGCACATGAGTACTTTGATAATATTCAAGATATCGGTTAGTTGACGTTTGTTTTCTGACAATATGAGCCATGTTGCATCCATGTCACTTGCCCCTCGAATGAGGTGACAAACGGGATCTGACGTGCAGAGCTGTATTGGTCTGCTATTTTGTGTAAATTATCATTAAGAGCTTTATGTAACTGGCTGATAATTGTTGAGGCTGATGAAGAATGGATCGAATGTTGGTTGACAAGGTTAGAGGATAGAAAAGAGATGGAGAATGCATGCGTGGAGGAGTGAGAATTATCTGCGCTAAATTGGAGTGGATGTATCTCATGGCTATTCAAACCTAGGGTTCTTGCTATACTACTACTAAGTTACTTGGACTGATTTCATTTCACTACTGCTCCAGCTTCTCAGAGAGCCAAAATCCTGTATTATACTGCAGCATTGGAGGTCATCCCGAATCTGATGGATGCGTAGCATATCTTTGGGACTAAGGCTTTGGAAGCTTGATAAATGTTGTCTTATTGACCGTACTAAGCAAAGAAAGAATCACATTGTGCAACATCAAAGCGAATCGGTTTTGGATACATATCACATCGCCATAGCCATTCCCTACAACTCATCAGCATATCCCCGTACATCAAGACAAAGAAAACTCACCTCAGCCCACAAAACCCCATTCGGGAGATCTCTGCTTCCTCCAAGCGGGCTATCTATAATTCTACCATCACACAACCACGTCGTCTTCCCTCTTTGCAACGGCCCAAGCTGTCCGGTACCCGTTGACGTTGGTTTTCGGGAATCTCGAGTTGCTCACGGAGCCAGGTTACTAGGTTTGGGGCGAATGTGACCATTTTGGTGTAGGTCAATGGAAATTTAGTATGTGGATAACGAGGGCTGATGGTTGAGTCAAGATAATGAAGTACTGTGGTTAGTCTATCAAATCTCAGCGCTGCACGAAATGAAGTAATTTTGATGCGTTTACTTTCGTTGTATATATAGCTGACTTGTTTTATAGCATATCGCATCATTCCAAGAGAAATAAAACCAAATCTTGCATATGCTGGCACGGAGTCATAAGCTATTAATCTTCTCTGGGTGCTAAATATATATAGGGCTTCCCTATACCTCTAGTAAAACGCACAATTACGTGGTGCGGTTGCGATGTATCATGGCGCGTATTAAAGCCGATAATAATATCAGGCCTGGTGAATTAGGGACAATGCTATTCCCATTAACCAGCATGTAAAGAGTAGAGGGAGATGGTTGATAACAGCTAAGGTAGGTTACAGAATATCACGTGAATACATGCCAAATGATGTGAGCTTAAAATCCACGATCCAGGAACATATAAACAATGCATCGATAACAATGCATAAAACATCCGGATCTTCCGACAGGGCCTTATGTCACTGACCTTAAAATCTGGAAATGATACAATGCAACCCCACGGCGGATGTGGCGCAGTGTCTCAATTGCTCCACGGAGATACTCGAGTGTTTATCGATTGTATACGGAGAGATACGATAAGGACAGTGAATATTCCTGTACCGGCGCAAATAAATTCATAAATACAATGTACTCATATCATCGTATATATGCCCATTGCTTACAGAGTGCAGACAGGGGTATATATGCAAGTAATTTCTGACGACAGGAATGCCATGACTTCATGTTTCAGTTATGTGGCTGTGCATCACACCAGCCACAGTGATAGACAGTACGGTACGATACCATACCATACAACACGGTACGCTGAATACGACTGTAACCTGGTCTTTTTTCAAGGATCGCACCCTTTTCCCCCTCTTCTTCAACTTCAATCATCACTTTCACTCTTTCCCAGTTTCCCTTTCGATCCCTCTTTATATTTCTTCTCTTTGATATTTCTTCTCTTTGAGCCCCGTCTGTATCCTCATACCGTTTCATTTGTTTATCTCCTGCATTCCCAGCCCGACCGGGAATTCATCTCAAAGACGCCGTGTGACTTTGGGTCAAAAGTACCGCCTCGTCCACCCTCTCAACAACAGTCGACATTGAATGATTGCTTGTCTTCAGCGAATGGCCTGTTGCTGCTGGACGACCGGAACCGTCCTTAATCGCTGATCGTTAATCTGCGACTGATTTGTGCTGCTGTTGCCGCCGGATCCCGCTGTGTATCATCGTCATCTAAACTGGGCCCGAGTCCGACTCGCCTGATTCAGTGCCGTCTCTTTGTCGATTCTATTTTTTCTTTTAATCCTCTTCCTCCCCTAATACCCTACTCTTTCTTATTTCCTCGTATATGGCCGGCGTGCAACTCTCCAACATGACCGATTTTCGAATGCCGCAATCTGTTCCAGCCCGGAAACCGGCTCCCCCGATTCATCATGGATACACCGCGTACCAGTCCTACGAACCTTTGCATCCTTCGCAACAACAACCTCAGCAGCAGCAACTGTCGCCTCACCCGTCTGTCGGATCATCCATGGCCAGCAACCGTAATCGAATGTCCTTTGCGCCTTCTACCTACATGAACACCAGTCCGCAATATCCCGCCAGCCCAGCATCCCAGCATTCAATGAACGGCCCGGCTCTATACCCACCATCTCGACGTATGTCCACCGCTACGACCTCGACCAACTCGACCGGAAACCAACCCGTTTCCGCTGGCGCCACCACGGATATTCGTCGCAGCACCTCCGCTCGTTCAGCCAATGCTCAGCTGGGCTATGTCGCTCTCATGCGGAGACAGAAGGCCACCGTCTGGTGTGACCGGTCGCAACCGGAAGATCCGCGCATGAGGGCACAGAAAATGGCGGAAAAGAAGCGGGCGTACTTGGAAGTTCACGGCGCGGGCGCCGGACGCACGGGTACCCTAGGTAGCGGGAAAAACAAACACGGAAACAAGGGTGTCACGGACTTCTCTCCATCAACCCTGGTCGGTGCGAGCGTGCCAGTGCGTCTCAGTGCCAACGAAGTCGGAGACGATGCCGAGGATGATGCTCGCAGTGACACTGTCCCTGTCCATCGCCGGACAGATAGCGGCCGCAGCTCTCTGGGCAGTGCTCATCGGTACACCAGTGGATATCAGCGACCGCCACCAGGTCCGCCAGGCAGTAGCCATAACCAGACTCTCGAAGAGAAGGTTCCGGAACAACCGCCTCCAGCGGAGAACCCACCCGTGGAAAATACCCACCCGGGCCACGATGATGATGCCAATAGCTTCAACGGAAGTGAGCCCGAGGAATACTTTGGCACTGTGAATGACATGAAAGCACCCAGTGCTGCTATGTCGGCTACAGAGCGAGCCAAGAGGGCCGAGGAATTGAAACGTCGCGGCAGTGTCGACGATCGTACAACGTCAATGAGTGGTGTTCGTCTCTTTGTTGCGAACCCGGATGAGTAAACGGGTCTACAGGAGCTTTGGATCTACATCAGAACAAACCTTCACTCTACGTTTTTCGTTTTCTCCTTATTATGTTGAAGATACTGTCTTTTGATTGATACCAGGGCTGGCACCATACAGGCCACTACTACCATGGCCTTATCCGTCAAGTCCACGTCTCTCGTTTTGTTTCAACCAGGTGGCATGGTCCCTTGGAATCGATACTTTCTTGCTTTTTGTCTCTTTATATTCCCCTCTGCTGCATGGCACTGGAGCGCCGCGTTGATGAGACATTGGCTCGAAACTTGCATTTGCACTTGGTGCATATCTTTGGGCATATTTCTGGCCCGGTGGTGAATTTTGTGATTAGATATAATAATATAATAATAAGATTGTACATAGCATCTAGATCTCGTACTAGAGCACTGGGCAAACACCACCAGAGTACTCCGTATGCTATCAAGAGCTGACTAACCATCACGTGATGGGACGCGAACCCGCGACTTCAATTAGAACGCGTTCCAGTAACCTCAGGCTCTACGATAACTCGGGTCCACGCGACGCAGCATAACACGTTCCGTTGCTGATTTTTGCTATTGCAACGGGTCAATTTGACCAATAACGACAGCCAGCAAGTTTCAGTGACATCGAACGAGAAAGCGAAACTCCCTTAGACGACGCCCTCCCCCCCCCCCCGCCTCGGATACCCAACGACCCCTGACAGAACCCAACTGCATTGATCCATAATTGTACACATGACCGCATACCCAGCGTTACTACTATCGAGTCAACGCTAAGACCTGCGAAATCAATGATTACCAGAGCCGCTTCGTTGGGCAGCGCCATGGAAGTCATGGATACGAGCCCGGGGCTGCCTCAGCCCGAACAGACGTTATCGACTACGCACGAGACACCCAGGAAGCGCTCGCTACAGGACGTTGACAATAGCATGGACGTGGATTCCGCCAGGGAGAAGGAGAAGGAGAATCAGGAGAACACCGCATCGGAACAGAAGTCGTCTGCTGAGACTGACAGTGCAGAGAACCCTGCCCAGGAAGCTGAGGGAGAGCGTACCTCGAAACCGCAGCCAGAAGTCATAAAAGATAATGTGCGGGTGGAGATCCCGCTGAATGCCATTCCCCCGCCGAATACGACTACAGAGCGCTCTGAGCAATCTACCACCCCTTCTGCGAAGAGGCGGAAGGTGTCCCCTGCGAGCAAGGAGACTAAGCAGCAGGAGAAGGAGGCGAAGGATCGGCAGAAAGCGGAGGAGAAGGCTAAGAAGGATGAAGAAAGGGCTAGGAAAGAAGAGGAGAAAGCTAAGAAAGAGGAAGATAAGGCTAAAAAGGAGGAAGAGAAACGGGCAAAGGACGAGGAGAAGAAGAAGCGGGAGGCTGAACGTGAGGAAGAGAAGAAGAAAAAGGAGGCGGAGCGTGAGGAGGAGAAGAAACGAAGGGAGGAGAAGAAGAAGGCTAAGGAGGAGGAAAAGGCGCAGAAGGAAGAGGAGAAGCGGAAGAAGGAGGAGGAGAAGACTAAGAAGGCGCGGGTATGTTTTGTTTCTGGGCAGGTAATGTTGGAGCATGCTAACAGGTGCAGGCGCAAACGAAATTGAATTCCTTCTTCGCTAAGCCGAAGACCTCGACTGAGGCTTCTAATGCAAGTTCCGGCGCGGCGCCTAAGGAGCCATCTAATGGTACCGCGGATGAAGGTACAGCTAAGACTGCATCAGACTACTATCGCATTTTCCCCGAATTCTTTCTGCAGTCGCATACTGTTGTCGCCCCGCCTCATCGATTCAAACGGGATTCAGAAGCGCTAGAGACCATGCGAAAAAAGGTGGACGAATCATTGCACAACAACGACGACTCGCAAGAACCGCCCGTCTTCCGGCCATCAGAACTGTTCCGTATGATTCCGTATAAGCGACGACGAGGGAGGCAGGCGACAACGGTCAAGGACATCCTACTCCAACTTCAGCATATGGGAAGCAGTGGAGAGGGAGCAACAACAGTGGAACCACCGCCAGGCCAGCGGCCACAAGATCTTCTCAATAAGGTCCGAATGAAGTCATTACGATTTGGCGAGGATGTCCGTCCGCCCTACCAGGGAACGTTTACCAGGAATGTCCCCGAGCCATCAGCCAAGAAACTCTCGCGCAACCCGTTCAGCCGCAACTTACCAGAAACGAACTATGACTATGAATCAGAAGCAGAATGGGAGGAGCCCGAAGAGGGCGAGGATCTAGACTCGGAAGAAGAAGAGGAAATGAGCGATGACGGAGAAGACGATATGGATGGGTTCCTTGATGACGATGACGACCAGCCCGTTGACGGGAAACGACGACTTATCGTGGGCGATCTGGAACCGCAAAGCTCCGGTCTCCGCTGGCAGGAGAACGACATTGACCCGGTTCTGCACATGTACAAGATCGAAACGATTTCAGATTCGGTCAGCTTTCCTATCGATCCGTTTTCCACGGCTTACTGGCAGAAACCGTCTAAATCGAATGACACCGCGCCGGCAACCCAATCGTCCAATTCCAACGGTACAGGAGCGGAGGGCAGCAACAAAACTAGCAATAATAATGGTTTAACCATACTCGGGAGCGGGCCTGGAAAGGCCAAGCGGTCATTCCCGCCTGAACAGCTTGAGGAGTTTAAGTCGGCTGTGAATGGGAGTGACTTGAGCAAGCTCGGACTGGTGGAGATCTTAAAGAAGAAGTTTGTCTTCTCGACTGGTTTCTTAGTATGCACGCTAACTGGATATAGGTTCCCCAAGGTCTCCAAGGAGGTGCTGAAGGACACGCTGACGAGTACGGCCACGCGGGTTGGGAGTAAGGAATCGGAAAAGAAATGGGTTTGCAAGTGACATCTATTTTTATTCTATCTTTGAATGATATAAAGCATTTTTACCGTTATCATGACACTACCAATGCAATAGATCACATCTACACACGACATTGCCCACCATCACACCTCCCTATCCTCCCTCACCAAGTTCCGATACGGATTTTCCGCATCCGCATCCTCCGGCGACGGAATCGTCTTCTTCGCCCGACACGGACTCTCCACAGCCACCGAAAAAGCCGGAACATCCCTCGTAACAATCGACCAGGCCCCAATAGTCGACCCGCGTCCGACCCGCACATCAGGAAGAATCACCACATTCCCACCAATCCAGCAATCATCCTCGATGAAAACGGGGTGTCCGAACTCGACGAATTTCTGCCGCGAGAGGACGCTCGTGTCGTGGCCTGCGCTGAAGATACCTAAGTTCGTGCCGATTTGCACTCTGTCGCCGATTATCACGAGGCTTGTGTCGAGAATTGTCAAACTATTCTTGCCAGCCGTACACTTTACAAGGAGGAAAGGGAGGTGGAGGGGCGAGACAAACTTCATAACATTACACCCATAATCCGGCAGAAACGGCGGCTCCACGAACGTCCCATCACCAACCTTCCCAACGACCCTTCGCAACATCTCCAATCTTTTCGCGAAAATCTGGTCGTACGAGACTGCTTTCGTGTCGAAGGCGTTGTACTCGGCTGTCACGCTGCGGCAGTGGTGGCGCACTTCGAAGAGTTTAGAGGTGTTGGGGTTGTACCTGGTTTTTTTTTTTTTTTTTTTTTTTTTTTTGTTAGTGTTTGCTTTTCTTTATAGGGATGGAAAGGGGAGGGAGGGAAGGATACAATATGCCGGAGATCATGGCTTCGTATTGCTCGCACAAGGGGATACCATTGAGGTCTTGTGCTAGGGCGATGATTTCGGGGCGTTTGTGGGGGGAGGCCATTTTGTTGTTCTTGCGGTGGGATACTTGGTGCTGGTGTTGGTATTGTGGTGGAGTGGTTTTGAGAGAATGTCGAGAGGGGAAGGGTGTTTATATGGTGGTTCCAGCGTGTACTCGATTGCCGGATGGATTATCTTGAAGTACATAGTAGCATACCATTACCGACGTTTCCCCGATGTATACTCAGTTGCCTATTTGGGAAATTTGTAGGCTGTATGCTGACCCCGCAAGAGTAATACCACAAGTGGATTGTATCGACATTACTCACGCAGAACTAGAAGACTTGACAACACTTTGATAAACTTGTCGATACACTCAGACATGGGCTAAATCCTCGCCATAACCCCCCTCATCTTCCTAATCTCCTTGCCAACCTGCAAAGCCGCCTGAGACCCCTGCTCCAACGCGCCATCAATCGCAGCTCGCCAGCCATGCGCCCAGTCGGCCGACGCAAAGAAAACAAGCCCGTGCCGGCTCTGCAATTCCTCTTGATACTTCGCCATGAACTCGGGAGGCCACCATGCTGGTCCGCCTAGAGACCATGGGTCGGTGTTCCAATTGTGGAAGATCTATTATTTCAACAGCGTAGACTCAGACAAAGCGAAGGGAATGGAAGTTTACCATTCTGTTCACTTCCATAGGATGCAGCTTCTGAAACGCATCCACGGCCTTCTCCGGGTTCTTCGGTACGAAAGTAGCACGTTCATCTTTCCCAAACCCCACAATATGCGCGCGGCCACTGGGCGTGACCCTGTCGCCGTACCCAAACATCAGTAGATTCGGATATCCCATGCCATTCCAAGACGTCAGCTCGGATCCCTCGACATCCGCGTGGATATTGGTCATGTAGTTAACGTGCCCTACTCTGATAGCTTCCTGGCGCGTCGGGGATAGCGGCGCGTCGAATGTAATGATATGCAGGAAGTTAAGCGGCATTGTAGAGATCACACGACAGGCCCGGTCGTAAGGCATTAGCGCATGGGAGCGGATCATATCCCAGACTTGAGTTTACCATGCTGCCTCCGGTGATGTGAAGGAGGGCCGTTAGGATCCAGGCTTCTTCGGTGGATAGCAGATGAGGAGATTTTATCGTAGCGCTCTACTTCTTCCCGTGATACTAGGATGTTGCCGAGTTGCGAGTGCGGGAGGGGGCAGATGGAGCGGCAGTTCTGGCCGGCTGCGTTGATGAAGATTGTCCATACTCGGGCTGTTATTTGGCCGGCTTCTTCGTGCGTGAGGTGTTCGGGGGGTGGCTCCTGTTTGTTATCTTGTGAGCTGGATATTAGCGGCATGTATGGACAAGACAACTTACCGGGCACATTTATCGTGTAGTAGTCATTGTCGTAGCCGCGATGATGGGTGAGCGTTAGATCTTGATCCATCTTGTACCGCGTCATTTCCTTGAAGAGGTACGCCATGTGATGCGTTACCCAAGTCCCGCCCATTTCATGCAGATGTCCTTACACAACATATTAGAATTTCCATAACCAGACCAGCAGGAAGACATGCTCACCATCAGATTCCACCGTATACGTCCGTCCACCAACACGATCCCTCGCCCCAACCATAAGCACCGACAAACCTAGTTTACTTAAGCATACAGCATTTAACAATCCAATCAAGAAAACTCACCATAAGGAAAAGTCCAGCAATAATCTTTCAGCGATTCTGCACCACGATACGGGTACTCCCTTGCTGATACGCACAATTCCCTATTTGGGAGATGTATCATCTTTATCATCATCAAGCTCGATACCAGCGGCCCTCGTCTTTCTTCGAAACTCGGAGTCGTCCGTCAGAGGTGCACCGAAGTTTTCGAAGTATTCCCCCATAGCGTCCATAACGTCAAAGTCGGCTAGCTGCAGGTACTGGACTGCAAGCCTGAGTTGGAGCCGGTGACATCGATGAAGAGAGCCATATCTTTGTCCATGTCCATGCCCATGAGGAAGCGCGATGGCAAGGTTGAGGCGACGTCGGATGATGAAAACTTTGTGTTGGTATGACAATATCTTAACAGGCCCGGGTTTGTGGGAGTGCTGACAGTCCATGCTACCTATTCCTTATAATCTCACAATATGAGAAGAATGTGAGACTGTTGGTCTGAATAGGCTGCAGCATATGATACTACATTACAGGAGTAGTCTTCAAGAACCATCCGAGTAAGAGAGTTTACATGCACCCCAGCCCCATTCATGGCTTTCAGTAAACAAATCTACCGGAGGTTTCATCCAGTTCAATTGGGCGAGCTCTGTCGCTAAGCAAAATCCCCGGTCCAGGTTCAAAATTTGCATTCGGCAGGGAGCGACTCAACCCCATCAAGGTCGTCCGGAGCCAGGTTTTCCTTTATCTACTATCTGACCGAAGGACAACACGTCAATTGAAGAAGAAAAAATCGCAGTAAGTGTCCGATCTGGGTCCTACCGCATAACGCCAAGCTCCCCGTCCACCATACAGCTGCCCAAATACCAACAACAACTGCAGCACCACGGCAAAATACCGAAAGGAAAGGGTCTAAATTCTCGCGAACGGACGATCACCATGAGTTGTCGAGCTCTGGTTTGTCCGGGCCGAATAAGGCTCCAGTGGGGTCCAACGATATTCCCCGTGTCCGCCCAGTTCGGGCGCGCTCAGCCTACTTGATTCGGCGTCATACGGGCCCTTATGCAACTATGGAGTCGCAAAGGATTGAAGGCATCCATATTCAGGCCGCTCTGGGTGGACATACGACTCATCATTGTTGATTGTTAAGTCACTCATCTGTATCGGGCAATGATCCGCTACTTGAGGATTGAGGATATATATATGTATATAAAGACCATGACCACCCCCCGGTCGTGGGGCTATAAGCTAATAAAGTATATTCAAACCCCGGTTATTCAATATGGGATCTCCGGTGCTTGTGGCTGTGTTAGCGGTATCCTGGGTTTGCGGGCTAGCCGGTGCAGTTTCTGTTTCTCGGCACGTCCAACTCGGGAGTCACGAGTATTTCCTGCCCCCTCAACCTGCTTGGTCGTTTTCAGGATGGGAGCATGGACTTGTGGGCTCGGAGGAGGAGCTGATTCCTCTGACTGTTGTTCATCTTAATTCGACCAGTGAAGGCACGGAGTCTATCAAAGCGACGTTGGACAAGTTCCGGTGGGCGGATGATGTTTGGACGCCGGCTTTCACAAATGGTAGGTCAATATAGATAGCGCGTGCTCTCAGTTCTATCACTGACATTTGTATAGCTCTTTATGTCCAATACCCTTCGAATGCAACCTCCGGAAAGAACCTTACAGTTTCGCTAGGGCCAAATGGCCCCGTCGACAACGTCTTTACGAGTACGGGAAAGACCGCTGCCAATGGAACTGTTCCTCAGGGACCATACTTTGTCCACAAGTACACCGGCAAGGTGTATCAGGCGTACAGGCTGTACCCGGATACAAGCCAAGCATTTCTTCAGGTAAGCTTGCATCTCGCATGCATTCATATCGCATATAAACTAACCTGACATGCAGTCCTCCTACCAAGACCCCAACGGAGTCCACCACAACCTCCGTGTCGCAACAGATTCGGCTGGTGGCTTGACCGTTGCCGTTCCGTCTCGCTTATACTTCACCGCCTCCAGGTCCAAGCCCCTGGCAGGTGTCCGCATTGCAGTCAAGGACCTCTACGACCTCAAGGGCATGAAGACAAGCGGCGGCAACCGTGCCTTGTTTAAGATCAGCAAACCGAAGAACGCCACTGCTGTTGCTGTCCAGAAACTTATCGACGCGGGAGCCGTGGTCATCGGAAAGAACAAATTGTCCGAGTTCGCTTATGGAGGACCCTACATTACCGATCACGTTGACTACCTCCTTCCTTTCAACCCTCGTGGAGATGGATATAACTCCCCTGGTGACAGCTCCGGCGGTTCCGGCGCTGCTGTGGCAAGCTATGGATGGCTCGATGCGAGCATGGGTAGTGACACGGGTGGTTCCATCCGCGGTCCGGCGACGCAAAACGGAGTTCATGGAAACCGCCCCTCTCACGGTGCAGTAAACCTGACCGGTGCCTTGGTGTTGGCCAATTCAATGGACACGAGTGGTATCTTGGCCCGGGACCCCAGCGTGTGGTCCAAAATCAACAAGGTGTTGTATTCGGGCTTTGCCAAGGAATTCACAAAGTTCCCGAAGAAAATCTACGTCAATGCCGGTGATGTTCAGAGTGCGCTGTCACCAGAAGAACTCATTGGTCCTGGGTCTGGAAAGTTGGTTGAAAGATTGAACAACTTCACCGAGGCCCTCGCTTCATTGGTAAACGGCAACACCACAAGTCTATCGGTTGACGACCTTTGGCTTTCCGCCAATGACACAGGAGATACGACCTTGAGCAATCTGACTTCCGATCTTTACGGCAACCTGACGAGATACGAGCAATGGAACACGTTCGGCAAGGACTATCTCTCCACGTATATGAAGAGTCACGACGGGAAATATCCTTACATGGTGCCTAGTACGCTCCAGGGCTGGCAGACGGCTAATGAGTCCATGTCCCCTTCTATCCACAGGGAGGATCTCAGAAAAAAGCAACACTTTACCAAATGGATTTCTAAGAATGTGTTCAAGCCGGATGAGGAAACCTGCTCTGATTCCATCTTCTTGTACTTTTCTTACCCACAGGGTTCTCAATCATACAAGCCAGACGTTTCAAAAGAGTAAGTCCCAATCAGATCTCAGACACCGAAAGCCCCCAGCTAACTCATGACACAGCACAAACAACCCTTACATTTTCCAACTAACCGACCAACTATCCTCCGCCCAACAACAAGTAACCGCCCTAAACACAACCCTCAACTGCAACTGCACCGAATTCGCCGACCAAGAAGCCTGCACTGACCTCAATTCTTCTGAAAAAGAGCAGCAGAGTTCCGCTGCGCCCAACCGTCTAGCCTCGCTAGGTGATCTCCCCGACTACGCGGTTACGTTGGGTGAGATCGCTCTTCCAGACCTTGTTTCCGATGCGAGCATGAAGGTTGAGGCTTTGCCGTATGGGGTTGATATTGTCGCTGGGTATGGGTGTGATTTTATGGTGCAGAATTTGATTACGAAGTTATATGAGGCTGGACTCATTCAAAATGTTAAAACGGGGGTATCGGTTTATGGGGGTTAATAGTGATAATGCTGTCGAGAGCTTGTACATATAAAAATTTATGCTCATCAACTAATTTCAAACTGTTCAATAAACGTTTTAAGTGTCTTTCAAGCGTAATATTATCCGTATCCCGGTTCGTCCTCATATCCCGCAAATATATCTTCCCACGTCGGTAATGCCCTAAGTAGCCCTGCAGCAAGTCGAGCAATTCTGAATAAGACATTAGCATTAATACCCGATATTCATAAGCGAGATACGCATGACTGCATGTATAGCATCAATGGATTTTGATAGCTTGGTGATAAGTTTGCAGGCGCTGTCACATACCCCATTTTCTACTGGGAACTATTTGCAATTTGACATGTTAGTAAAGCTTACTCCCACAGCATGCTGACTAGTATGGACGTACCCAATCATCTGGATATTCGTGAATTGGAAGTGCGCAGATGGGTAGACACATGATAGATGCGTTAGATGCGTTAGATGCCTGCTGAAATGTCGAATCGGCCACGGCACTGCTGGTCATGAGAACATGTACGGAAACGGCAAAGAGTAAGAAGTTCATGTTGGCTATTCTATTAGTATGCTTCTGGAAGGATGGGAAAGAGAGATGATTATGATGGCTGATGGAGGGTTCGAAGAATGGGAACCAAGAGGGCATTTATAACCTGTGGTCAATGAATTTTGGCGCCCTGGGGTGCAATGCTTGCTATCTTATGTTTCCAGCAATCTAGGGTAAGGCCTGGTTCTGGATAGTATTATCGTATTGGCTAACACATAAACGCATGTACCCGGCTCAGTCGCAACTGGTAGGTATCTTTTCAACGCAACACTCCGATAGTTCAGAGTAACTGGCTATCCCTTCGGGTCTATAGACTAAAAGCTGTCGGTGAATGAGCTTAAGGGCAACGACTTGTTTTTCTGTCTAATGCAGTACCTCGATGTAGTTCGTTAATATCACCACGATGGATGAGCAATTACATTGGATTCCTACCCTACTCGACATCAATCTGTAGATTGTACTACACTATTAGGCATTTTGTTGCAAAATAATATTGCGATGAGCCAGTCTTGGTCTGGTGCCACTTGTTTGTTTTAGGGTTGTGGCGGATAAAACCGCCAGTAGCAAACAAAGAAAACTTCAATTTCTATCAGGTTCTCTTCTGACCATCTTCTTTTCCACCATCATTTTATCTTCTCTCTGTCATCATTCACCTGAAACAGCCAGGGGGTAACTCTATCATTCCAACTTTCCTTCCTCACTTGCTTAATTCCGATCGCTTTCACGCAAAGAAAGTGGGTTCTCAAAATGGCCAGCAAAAGGATAGAGACGAATACGAGTCCAGGCAGGTTCCTGAGAGTCTTCTCCCACCATCGAAAGTCAAGAAGCTCTACTAGTTCCGTTGTCGCCCCATAGCCAGTGGCAGAAAATGACAACGAGGGTGCTGGTTCCTCACAAAATGCGTTGAGCCCCCGCAACATCTTTGCAAGGAACACGTATGTTAGCTTGGATGGGAAAGCGCAATGGAGAGAATACTAATATCCAAGAGATTACTTTCAAGATGAGGAATAAACCAAGTCTATCTTCGTGGTTTGTTTGATCTGCCCATCCAACTATATGGATTGTCATTCCAAGAGGGACTAATTATTGAGGCCCAACAAGGTATAACTCTGCTATAACTTGAGATTGGATTGAATAGCCATCCGCTTAAAAGAAGGAACATACACATCGACAGGGAAAGGATAACGCATACGCAAGACATGACTAACTGATATTTCCGCCGGTTATGCTCCCGGTAGGCACAAGAAAGGCACTTACTCACACGAGATGAGCGACCAAATCAAATCAAAAAGGTACCAATCCCAAATAAAATAAAGCACGTTATGCCGTTACCACACAGAAAAGGGATTCTGTGATAAAGCAGATTATGTTTATGACCACAATCCTGACCTACGCGGATACAAGATGCACGGAGAGAAAGGGGAGATCATACCACCCAGCTACAAGTATTGACCCCAGCACAGCTTGCAATTTGACCGACTCGTGGCAGTACCAAAGTGGCAGTGCCAGGAGTGTGGCACCACTGAGCTGCCAGAAGCATTTCAGGTTCTCTCTGAATGCATGAATTAATTTTGAAGGTATGTCTCTCTTTTCATATACCCATACCAGCAATATACTAACCAAAAACCAGGTTGTCTCAACTGAATACAGGGTCCCTGAATTGCGCAGAATGTGCTCCGGTCAAGTTGTTCCTGGCAACTGTCAATAACAGAAAAGGCATTTATGCAGGTGGGGATAGAGATGCTTGCCTATATAATCTATTGTGAACAAAGTGACATGAGGAAGGAAAGGTAGGAGGCACTGCTCTGCCCAAACAAACGGCGTTTATGACTAACTAGCATATATCATATCCCGGGGTCAAAGATGACCTTCTGTTTAGTCCAGGTCAAGAACCGAAAACGTCTATTACCAGTTGTTGCGACGATGAAGCTACCACAAAGACAGATCGGCATCAGTTCGACATCGTCCCACCGGAGAAAAAGGCTCCCGGGGCTTCGTGCCGCAACCCAAACTCTTCCAAGACATATAGCTGGGTCAAGGACCCAAAGGGATTTGTAATGACGGCCTTTGGGCTTGATGGTACCCTATATCCTTTTATGGAAGGGTACATGGGGCAGAAGACGCGCGGATTCCCCCCTTGCTCAGTCAGTTTCTCAACTACGTGCCTGGGATCTCGCTCCCGGAAGACATATTCGAAAAATATGTCAACAGAATGTCCCCATTACTCTGATTTCCCCTTAGGGGGGGTATCGTTCTTCCTGAACATGACATCTGATATCATGAAGAAAATCAAATTGCTGTGGTACAATGGGAATTTCATTACCCAGAGCTTGATGTTTCGTTTGTGTTATGTGTCATGAGTGCTAAAAGCCATACAATAAACATTAAACAATATCACATATTGATACTGTACGGAGATCTTGATACTATCATTTGCTTTTAAGTTATGATCTTTCTATTCTTTATTGTGGAAAGATAGATGTATTTAAGTTGGTAAGAAGTTCAGCATTCTTTACTTGTTAATTAATTTAGTGTATGTTGTCTTTCAAAAAGGAGACCATCGTTTATCTAAGAAATGCTCTAGTATTTTCCCAACCTTTATTGTGTTCGTAGAACTTCGTAGACAATACACCTAATTCAGGCAACATGTCCAGCAATCCTAAAAACGATATTATATTAGCAATCTGAATCGAATTATACACTCGTCCCAGTGACCCGTGGAATTAGATGGGGCACATACCCCACGATGCTTCGAGTCCTATCCCATAATATTGCGTTAGCAAAAATTCAACTGATAAATGCACCAAACAGGCTGACTTACGAATGGCTTGGGACACTCAAACGCCTCCTTCGAACAGGAAGTCCAACAAGCAGGCTCTTGGCGCTTAGGAATAGCTGGTGTCGGGGCTGGAACAGGAGAGGCGATCGCAGTGTTGACCATGAGGGCCAGGGCGGACACAACGAGGACCGGGAGGTGCATGTTGCAGGTTTGTTTTGGATTGATGTATCAAGTTGAGGAGAGAGGTGGATAGATAGTATTCAAAACTGAAATCGACCACATATTTATATTTCTGACGCTGGGGTGTCAGCTCAGCTGGAACGGTTGCACGTTGGACTGATTCGAAATCCAATAATAGCTACTCCATTGTATACCTACATATGCAATGGAGCTACCGCACTGCATGCACCCAGCCCTGTGAATCTACGGTTGGCTAGCCGTTCCAAATCTGCAGGTGGTAAGGATGTTTCAGAACATGGAAATCCGGAGGAGAGAAAGAAAACAGGAGCCTGGTCAATTGACTTGCGGTCATAAAGCGGCTATGTAACACATGTAAGCGCCCTGATCAGGCACCGCTAGGTATCTCCCACGATCTCACAGCAATACCCAAATATTGCTGTCCAGTTCGAGGACACATCGTATAAGACCATTCTTGTGTGACTACAAGACTGTTGTTATGTAGCGCCAGTCCTACGTATCCAGCCCATAATACGATTCACGTTGTATGCAACCGTGAGGACAGCAACCACCACAACAGCCGTAAACGGAGCAGCTACCTCCCAAAAAAGCGCTTGACTCGGTTCCATATCCCGGATATCCGCTGTGTTCATGCCGAGGTAGCTCGAGACAAACGAGAGGGGTAGGAAGATTGTCGCGACGATGGTAAAGACGAGGATTGCTTTTCCATGGTCTTCTTGGATGATCTCGACGCGTTGGCATATCTAGTCGATGTTGTTAGTTCAGAGTCTTGTTTCGTTTATGTTAGCGTACCTGTTTTTCTAGATCCTTCGTGCGCTGCATCGCCATCAAACTTAGCAGAAAACAGCGATTTGAATACCGTCATACTCATGCCACTCTCAGAATCGGAACCTGTGTCACTCCCGCCATAGTTAGGAGCGATATACCTGGACTTGCGTAGGCCTTTTATTACGGATAGCTGACTAGAGATATTCTTGATGATTATCCCCAGCTCTTCGCGTAGTAGGTTCACGTCCACGAGCAAGCTTTTGCTAGGTGTACTCCATGCTTTGAGTTGCTAAACATGAAATTTATATCAGCTTGCGGTTTGTATTTGTTCGTGAAATCAAACGCACCAAGTGAGTGGTATATGTCACATAAATCTCTTCAACATCCAATTTTGGTATGGATTCACATGTTGAATGGCCCTGCAGCACAGACTGCAGCACAAGAGCGATGATCTTTCCACGGTCTATCCCGTTGTAGGAAGATTCCTCTTCGTTTTCCGGGCTGAACATTGCGCAGCATTCGTCTTGTGCGCCATCGAGATAATCAAGAATCAGATTGCCCTGGAGGCACATTACTCTCGAAAAAGCCTTTTCGGGATCACGAAGTCGTAGGCTGCTCGTCGAAGATGTAGATGTTGTAGAGCAGTCATCTTCATTGTCATCTTGAGTATCTTCCTCATCGGTACTCAGACTAGGTGACTCTGTCTGTGTCCCCCGCTCTTGGAAAGGTGCCGTCTCTGTTTGCGACTGAACTAAAGCCGATCGTTGATCTGGTGGCTCATCATGTATAGGGCTAGGCGACGCTGAACTGCTGTCACCACCTTCTTGGTCGATTTTGCGCATAAGTCTGGAGGCCTCTTGAGATGTATTCATACGAAGTAGCACAGTCGTAAGGAACACTTTTTCTATAGAACGTGGGATATAGAGTTTCTCAACGCCGAATAATCCATCACGTAGTTTCTGGATCCGATCTGTGATGGTATGAAGCGGAATGACAAAGACGCTGCAATGGAATGAGAAGAGGACATCCTTGTAAGGAGACTTAAATGTCTACAGTTTCTCTCCGTTTAGTTCAAGCACTAGATATACCAAATAATAGAAACACACCTGTACTACAGCATGTGTTGCTGCCCAAACCTTTCCTTTGACGATACAATCATAGTCTTCGTCAATGAAGCACCCCAGGACGTGGCTCAAGCGATGTACAAAGGAAACCAGGAGAGCGAATATGTGGTTATTAAGATAGTGGCTCTCATGCAGGATGGTAATCTCCTTCTCCACATCTGACTTTGTCCTCAGTGGCAAGTTGTTGTAATGTTGTGCAACGAACGCGCCTGAAGCATAGATGAGTTTGTAGTGCAAATGCGCCAGTAAAGCCCTCATCTGCTGCTTCGGCGTGGGTTTGTATTCTGAAGATACTTCAGGTCCAATTGCGCGCGGAAAGCCGTCGACTGACTCATCGATATTTTCCTTGATCGGCCACTTGAATATGGGCTGCTTGACCCCTGCTGAGCCTTTGGATATGCCTTCTCCCTGGCCTATATCATGGCTCTCCAATCTGGTTTCATCAATCTCGGCCTGAAACTTTGCAGCCTCTAGGACGTATAATGGTGGGATGTAGTATGAACCCTCGACAGTTTTGGGCCGTTGAATGAATGTATCAATTCTCTCCATGGTACGTAGTCGCTCAGTATGGTTATAGAGTATCCTTTGGTCGAGCTCAGTAAGATTTTGTGCGATGATAATGTCTCTTTCTTCCTAAAAAAAAAAAAAAAAAAAAAAAACATCATGTCAACTTCCAAAATGGCCAATGACGATATTTATGAGGACACCTACCCCAGGCTTTGGGGTGTCCCAGTAATAAGGTATTTTGTACTCGTCCAGTGTTTGCGGGCTAAGGATTCCCAAACTAGCCTTGGGGTACTCTGGGTGGTCATTCGTTGTGGAGTTCCAAACATATTTCCCTTCTAGTGGGATTATCACTGGTAGTCTCTGATATGATCGAGCTGCTTCAAAAGAGACCAGGACTGCGAGTGGCTCGCTGCTGCAATGAGACTGCAAGATGGATGGCCAACGAATGCCTTCGATAACACTCCCATCTTTCTGGAGCTTGTATACCCAATTTCTCAAGGTGATGGGAGAAGTCCGAGATGCTTCGATAACACAGTTTACTCGATTTTGAAACTCCTACATGTCCCACTAATCAGATCACGAAATGGTAAATGGCGAAAGCAATGTTGGAGACTTACAGACCACACCTCACACTGATCACGCCTTAAACAGAAGATGAGACCAGAGCTCAAAGTTACGCGAATTGTGGTGGGAAACTTGTACTTTCCAATTGTACATGTAACGATTGATGAGCTCCGGTTATCATATATGGCCGTGGGTGAGCATGTAGCGATAAAGTCTGGAAAAACAATGTTACCAAGAAGCGTACTAGGATTGAAAGAGTGAACGTACTATCACCAATGGTAAGAATCCAGAGCTGTGACACATGAAGGACGTCGATGATATGGTCGTACAAACATCTAATTGCTTGTTGATTTTCGCGAGATATGGACGAGTCTAGATGGTAGGCAGATTGGACAAGAGGCTGAACCCAGTGAGCCTTGGAGCTGTGTGATCTATTCCTTCTTTCTGGTGTCTTTCCGAGCGAGAAGTAGGGCTTCCAGCCAATGAAGGAAGTGCCTTTGAAGAAAAGCATGTAGCTTGCCATAGTCAGACAGCTCCTCTCTGAATCTCAGGTGATCGAACCAAAAAAGGCAAGAATATCGTATGTGTGCTATTGGGTCTGGTATGGGAGCCAAATCCTTTCTTACGATTCCGGGGTCATTTAAATTGTAAATGTCCCGTCGCAATGTGTTTGACATGGAAGATAGACACAAAGAGAAGATATTGTAATGGGTCGCTTTTGATCCAGCTAGAAAGACGACCTTTGACTTCTTCTAAACAAGATATTCCTTAGCTGACTGGTGTATGAAGTAAATGAATTGTTCTCGGATAGTAAGAAATGAGCTGCACATGGTAATAATCCTTTCCATGTCTGTTTGTTCGATACCTACTTCTCGAAAACCGGCTATGGTGTGCAATTCTAGGAGATGGAGTGGACGATACGCCATTATAGCCGTCGATAGAGCAAGAAAACAACATCGAGCGCTTCTGTGGCGTCGGATTCTCCCTATCATCTCATCATAGAGTGGTATCAAACCGGCCGGATATTTTTCGATGGTCTCAAGAATATTGCTCTTAGTTACGTCGTCTTCTTCCAGTCTTTTGAAGATAAGTGAGACCCAGAGAAATGTACCATCTGCTTTTCGATTAATGCGATTTGCGACTTGCAGCTGCATATTCCCATCATTCCGAAGCACGAATAATTGTGTGACCTTGTGGCTAATGAAAGTTATGATGGATCTGGAAAGTTGCTTTGCATTCAATTCCAGGCTGAGTCGCTCGTGTGAGTCACAGAGCTGTAGACGCTGCTCGATGTCGTCCCGATTGCGACTGGATATGATCCATTTCACCTGTGAGAACTGTGTGGTCACTGTATCTCTCACTAGATCCAGGAACGGAAGCATTTCCACGCTACACTCGTCAATTGCATCAACAATGAAGCATGCTCCTGGAAAGTTCGGGTCCTGGAGCATACTTTGAAACACTCCCGATAGAGCGTAAAATAAGTCGGGACGCTCGTAGAGCTCGCCGCCGGTCTGATCATATTGTTGACGCAGGTGTCGAAGAAGCGATGGCTGCTGAATTACAAGGAGATATATCAGGCCCCGTAAAATGGCACTGGCGTTGTTCAGTCGCGAGTCAGTGCCTTGGCAGATAAAGTAAGACAGCAAATGGTTACTGCCTTGCTCTGGAGATTGTTGCAGCTGCTGAGACAGCTCATCAATAATGCTTATCATAAGCATAGTTTTCCCCTTTCCAGCATCCCCTTTTATCCAAAGTAGTTGACCCGCCGCGTCTGATTGCCATTGCCGGAAAACGGGATTTTGAAGGACCCAATCAGAGGATTCCCGTAAAAGACCACCCTTCATTTTCTCAATCCGAATTTTATCGATTCGGGGGTCCGTCAATCGAAGTTTGCCAAGGCACTGCTTGTCAGAATCAGTCATCACTGAGGGTAGTGTTAGCACTATGATCTCTCAAACTCTGCCTTGATCACCTCACTGACCATTCCGAATAGTTGGTCTCCAATGCTCCAGGAACGCCTTGGCAGCAGATGCTCCTGTTGCGGCAGCATAGTCTTGCCATATCTTGTTCTTTTGGCAGTCTGCATAATCACAGACGCCTTTTATGATTATGTAGGGAATGTTATCCCAGATACCGGCGCCTTCCATCTCAAACCCAATCATGTCCTCGTCGGTGGCCAATTTATTGCGGTAATCGGCTGACTTCACCACAGTATCGCCAGATCCCATAGTTCCAATGTGCATTGACGGGGTATAGGTGTCGGATAACGTATCATCTTCATTATTAGGACGCTGCCATAATCCGTCTCGATGTGTCTGAAGAGTACTGAGGTACTGGTAAACCCGGTCGCGGAACTGCTTTCTCGTTTCTTTTGTCTTCAAGTCCGCAAGAATCGCTCTGGTTTCGCGGGTGTGACGACCAGATGTCTCCTTGATATTCTTCTTGCGCTCGAATCCGTCGGGGTACCGCCTGCCAAAGTCGTACTCCACCACCCTATCGCTAAGAATCACATCACCTAGAGAAACTGGAGTGCCATCGGATGTAAATCGAACAGCCCCGCAGATGCCCACCAACAATGCCAATTGAACTGACGGGTAGCTCACTCGAAGACTGGAGGCGGCACTGGCAGCATTCCCTTTTCCTATTCCGGGAAGGCAGCACAGAACGACATCATGCGGACCGAGTTTTCCATTTGTATAGACGTTTGCATCGCCGGATTGTATACCATAGAGTTGATTCGATTTATCGTACGTCTTATCAAATAGCGCCTCGACCGCGTCAGCCTCGCGGGGAAGAGCGCAGATTATGGCGACTTCGAACTCGTCACGCGTGCTGGGCGGCATCCTTGGATGGATTGCGCAATGAACACGATATTCTGGTGATTATTCTCTATTACTTTCAATTGTAGACCCAGAGACATCAGCCACGGCAGGCTTGGGGGGAAGGTTACGAGTTGAGGGGCTGCACTCCTTCTCACGCGAGGCTGCGCGTAGCGTAAGCGCCGAACAGCCGCATCTTGGCCATTGGGCCATAAATCGTTGGATCGCCGTTGTGCATTCTAAGTTATAGATGTGCTTTAAAATAAAACATCATTATGGAATGACGTTAACTGGTACGGAGCAGATGGTTGTAAGAAGAAGGGCTTCTAGCATGGGCGGAGATGGAAGTACTGTAATAGCATAAGCAAGTAGCAGCCCGGTAGTTATGAATAAGCCACATTTGAACGCAATTAACGCTTTTTCTTATCTCACTCCCTCTGGTTTGTTCTTTTCTTCCTCCTTCCTCTTCTCTTCCTTTTCCTCCTTGAGCTTGATATCAACCTTGTTGGACTATGCATAGCCATAGAGAATGCTGACTCTAATTCATGGCAGCTCTGGCCTTTATAGTTGTTTCGTAGACAAATTGTATGCCGAGGTAGAGGGCATATGCGTAGCCAATCCATTCTGGATGGAGAGTATATACGCGGCGGGCCATGAAGAAGAAGAAGAAGAAGAAGAAGAAGAGAAGATGCTTAGTCTACAGCCGTACAGCGTCACTTGTTACTGCCTACTGGCTGAGATAGTGTAGATGGACAGGGCAATATGAGAAGTGCAGGATTAAGTGGCATGTAGACAAGCAGGCAGCTATTGCAATACGCAAGGTAGTCATCATTCATGTTTAATTTGTGCTTAGTCTCAACTCCCATCCGAGACTAATGCGACCTTTAATGCGACCTTTGGTAGAGGTTGCTCGTGGAGTCGTAGAATATATAGTTATCGGATGTGATATGTCAACTCCCTTGGCGCATAGCCCCATAACACGGATTTATCTGCACTGTTTATCATCTACAGAGCACAGAATATCATATATCACTCCTCACACTAGACAAAAGTATTTAGTAGTGTAGCACTACTAGCACTTGTACCCAAAACCATTCGCCTAAGCCACGTGATCGCATGAGCTAACCGAATGAGGTATAATTGAAATTTATGTATTCTTGTATCAGCGAATAAATTACACCACCACTTGTATGTATGTACACTACAAGCAATGTACATTTGCCACATTATACACGATTCAGCGGAGAGAAAGCTGTAGATAATATCTGTAGATAATATCTGTAGACCATAACTGGAGAGCATAAAAGTGTTTCAGCTGCTCTCTGCGAGGAACAAATCATCCGCGGTGGTGGTTATTGGCTCTCTGCAGTGCCAGCGCATCATGCTCGCGCTCTTGCGTTGGCTGCCCCTCTTCGCCTTCACATTCTTTTCTTTACATTTTCAATCCGCTTTCTTATATCTTCAATATCTTCATTTTCATCGCTCTAACAATACTATACGGTCCTCATTAATCTGAATCACGGATTGTCAGATCTCTGATTCGCAGCTGCAGGTGATTGCCAGTTCATCTGCGACTTTTGCGCTTTCGCTCGGACTTTTTTTTTTCTTTTTTTTTCTTCTGGATTATCTCAGTTTATTATATCTCCTCTCCAATATTATTTCTTCTCTTGTGTCTCTATTCGAGCTATTCGAGTCCCCCTGTCTCTCCGCAGATTACCCGTACTATCGCGCACAGTTCACCTGGTATTATTGAACAGAACCATGCGATAGACTGGTGCTTGCGATCTCTCTCTCTCTGTGCCTGGGAGAGGGAATGGATTTGCCCACATGGCATGAATATTGATTGACTTGAAACACACAAATATCGCTGCTATACGACGACACCATGTTCAGTGCTCAACATCGCCTGTCCGCGACCTGGGCGTATGTGACTAGTATGGCTCTTTCCCCTTTCGGTGGCCCCCTTTTTCTATATTTTCTAATTATATTCCTGCTTGGAAATGAACCACTGCTAATTAATATTATTTCCACTTTTCAGCCTTACTGCCTTCGTCCTCATCGTCCAAGCCTTCCTCGGTCAAGAAGCCCTCTCCGCAATGTGATTCCTCCCATCATCCTACGCATGTTTCCGCGTCGCTGCCACGGCCCATTTCTCCTGTGCTTCTAGAATCCGTCGAAGATAATAGCATTCAGTTCTCGCTTCCAGACCGGTCTATTCAGCGTTGCGCATCCCCTACGCCGTCTGGCCCGTCCACAGGTGAGTCCGACGCTTCGGGCCGTTCCACGGCACCATTTATCGCGACCGTTCCTCCCGTTGGGTCCGAGATTACTATTTCCTCCGTGCACGCCCCTTTCTCTTCATCTTCTCCTCCTCCTCCCTCTTCGTCTTCTTTCTCCCCTATGCCAGTGGCCGTGTCCCAGCAGGAGCAGTCCGTGGATGTCCCGATGGTTTCCTTTGAGGATTTTGCCGTCTGCTATCGCCAGAATGTGCACAAGCAGTCCCAGCGGAAACGCCTGGAACACCGTCTCCATGCTACCAAGGTTTCTATTGCCGTTTCCGCGCGTTTGACGCGCATTGGTGCCGCGGTCCAGTGTGGTTTGGTCGAAAATCTGAAACAGGATGATAAGATAAACTTTGTCAACCTCTACAACACTCTCCATGAGCTCCAGGAATCCTGCGAGTCTGCCACCCGGCGTCCCTTTCATCACCGGCAGGATCCGTTGCTGGAAGATGCCGCTGTCGTTGGCGATCTGGATTCCGTCTTGGATCGTTCCCCGGATTTCTTCCGACAGTTGAGCCCGCAGTCCCAGACCGATTTGCTTGACATCCTACATTCCGTCCGTACGGATCCCGAGTTTCTGTTTGATCGACTGCGCAACTTGACTGCTACGCAACTGGCCACCCTGGTGTCGTCCGCCACGACGTTGGAGGCCCATGATCCGTCATTGCCCTCGAATTCCCGATCTCGAACGTACCCGTTTGCTTCTTCTGCTTCTACTACTTCTTCTGCCTCTTCCTTTACATCCAAGCGCATTTCTTCCGGATCCCCCTTCCAAGACTATGCCTTGGCGTGTGAGAGAACGGACGCGCTTGCGACGCTCTTGTTCAATGCGTTCGCAGCGCCCTTGGATGCAGATTCGCCGGAAGCGCGCTTGCGCGTGGATGTGTGGTCTAGTGTTTGCGCCAAATTGATAACCCATGGTGGCAACCATTATTATCCATTGGTCGGTCATATTCTGTCTGCCTGGGCCCTTTGCAGCGACTGGAAGGCTCGGCCCCAGTTTGAGTTATATTTGATGGATATCCTACAAACTGGTGCCTTTTTGTTGGAGCATATAGACGCGCCAGCCGGCGTGGATACCGATCCTATAGACCCCTTGAAGACTAATGTGGCCGAGGAATTCTTTGCTTCCGCGGTGAACTCCCTCTTCAACCTTCTGGATGATTCAGATGCCGGGTTGCCCCATTCCGTCATGGAACTTGGCAGTGCTATTCTGCAGAAACTGGGCCACACTGACTTACGCAACCGTTTCATGGAGTATCTCTTTGTCCATTGGTTTTTCTCCAAATTTCTTTACGGTGCCTTAGCCTATCCGGAGGTATGCATTTGCCCTTCTTGCGGGTTCGTCAATCCGCGATATCATAAGACGGAGATAACTAAGTGTCTTTTTCTTTCTTTTATTTTTTTTTTTTTGTTATAGGTTCATGGTCTTCTACTCGATTTCCATATTCGAAAAGATGCACGAGAAAAATTGCTGGGTCAGGTCGGATTACGAGCTTATTCCCAGGTGTTTACCGTACTCCGGTCAGCGTGAGTACCGTCTTTCAACTCGCACATTTCTCTTTTTTCTCATGGCTGACTCTTACATCTGCTGAAGGCACCATTCCGCGATTCCTCTTCCCACGGTTCAGCAGCATGTCGACAGCATGTTTCATCGATTCCAGAGCGTGGCTTCCAATGTTAAACCGGCGTCGAGTGACAAGTGTTCCCCACCAGCCCCTGGAAAAGTACACCAGTCGTCTTCAATGTTCCTTATGTTGTCAGCGACAGATGTTCTATCCCTTCTGAACGTCCTCTTCCCCAGAGCACACACCCCTGTGTATCAGCCTTCGACCCCGTCTATTGGGTCGCCTCTCAGCTCCTCGCCCAACGGTCTTGGCGCTCAACCTGGCTTCTTCCGACCCAAAATCGATCCTAGCACAGCTAGGGAATCTACCAATAGCAATTCATTGTTCTCTACAGACGCTGAATTTCTGTCGCTTCCAGATAAGAGTCTCGGTCAAGCGGCGGACCGGATCCGCTTCGAGCTATCGGACTTACTCGAGCCACATGAGCACCGCGCTAACTTGGAGCATCCTTCCAATGAAGACTGGACTATCTTCTCTGTTCCTTCGGATGGAAAGCGCTTGACCTGGGGCCTCTTTGCGGATCACTCACCCAGCACTGTTTCCGATGTTTCGTCCGATGATGGTGTACAATCCACCGCATGGGGGGTAGAGAAGAACTACGAAGCATTACAGACGGCCATTGTGAAGCTTGTCAAAGAAGGCCATACTGGTGATTATCCGGACCACGGTTACCAGGATCTATCATCTGCTGCTTCTCTATCGATAACCAGTCAGTCCCTCAAACAACGGTTCAATGAAGCGATGGCGTATTGCAACGATGATTCGGATTTTATCGGTGCGCATTACTGGTGGAATGCCGGTCGACAACTTGCCCGCACGGTCGCCAGTTCCAGGGCCCATTCCGCTGATGACTCGTGGATTCTCCATCCGATGCATGCTTCCTGTGCCCGCTCGCTGCAAAAAGCAACCACTGTCATCGAGCGCTGCGAAAGAGACTTTGTGGCTCTGGATCGGAAGATGCAGCGGCTGCAGAGAACCGTCAAGGAAGCCATGACGACCGTCACCAAGCTTCGCAACAAAATGTGGTACATGACTGACGTGAAGAACTCTATGCGGTACGAGGATGCCAAAAATGTTGCATTGGCGCTCAAGACAATGATCTATTCCGCGCGTCTCTACAAGAACGCGCCCGCAGAGTCTCGATCGCGTGCCACGAGATCATTTGGTGGATCGCTACTGCAGAAGCCCGAGTTACAGGTGATGGATGTTATCAAGGCTGCCAGCAGCCAGGGCGGCCCGAACAAGCTGTCAGATGAGCAGGTGGAATTAACCCGCAAGTGGTTGTCTCATAGCAACATTGATAACTTCTGCAGAGGTGAGGAACGTATCCATCGGTTCTGCTACGAAGTCAAGACCAGCATCAACCGTCTCGTCGGCGAGACCATGTCCGAGACCCCGGTTTTATGGTCCAGCGAGTTGTTTCAGAAAGAGCGAGCAAAATTCGAAGGTCCTTCTGCGCCACGGAACTTCCTGGGCCTCTCAAATCCCAGCATACGACCGTTTGGCGTTGCCAGCGAAGATTCTGGTTACCATTCAACATCCGTTGGAAGCGGCAACCCGCGTCCGTCGGCGTCCGTCTCAAAGTTCTCTCAGGATCTTCCAGCACTTCAGAGTCTGTTCTCCGATAAATGGAAATCCTCCAGGGATTCGTCTGTCGCGGACACATCGTCGATTATTGGAGACTCGCCAGGGAAGACTGCCTCAACCACGACTGGCGATTCTTGCAGCACGTTCTGGTCTTCGCCTCAGCCACCCACGCACTACGCAGCCAGCGCATCGAGTCTATATTCCCGTCCTCCTTCCATGCTTAGCGACACCGTCTCGCAACCACCACGCCGTCGTGAACGGAACAAGACTCATGAAAAAATAGCGTTCTTGGATGGGTTGAAGCAAACACTCACCAGTCTTCTTCTAAGCGACCTTGGTTCCCCAGTGTGGAGCTGTGGAAGCGAGACAGATGCTTGGTTTGGCAATGCTCTCGACAAAGAACGTATTCAGACGCAGATGGATAAGCGTGCGCGTGTCCAGCGATTCTACGACGAATGTGACGAACGGTCCAGTCGGCCTTCTCTATCTCGCACACCAACGGTTCTTCGAAAGAGCAGATCCCTCGAGCAGCCTCGAGAGGCCGGGCGCCGCCCAGGTACCGTCACGGAGGAATCTTCAACGGCAGCGACGGTCGAGGATCAACTATCACCGTTCTCGTACGAAACAGTGTTCCGTCGGTTAATAGACGTCTTCTCGCGGCACAGCAGTCCGTTTGTCAAGCTGCAGGCGCTGCGGGATCTGCGAGCCATGGTTATCGCGTCACTCAACACTTCGCACGATGACCAATTAAGTGAACATGCGCGCGAAGAGCCCACAGGGCCAAGAAGGTCGAGTCGCTATAGCATCTCTGCACCGCGGAATGACAAAAAGGCCCAAGAGGATGACGTTCAGACCCCAACCACTCCTGCCCCCGAGTCAGTTGTCTTTGACTCGCGCCCATCAGACTATGCAGCAGGTCCCACTGAGAATCAGATTGTGGACGCTTTGCGAAGCTTGATCCTGGAGATCAAGCCCAAGACTATTTTCCGGGACTTGCAGTTTATTTCTGCGTTTGTCCCTGGAGACACGCTCAACAAGACTGACAGTGGAACAGCATTCGTGCAGTTTGGCTTGGCTGCACTCAGCCTGAAAGACGAAGTGTGCAACAGCATGGTCGAGATCGCGGATGAGATCGTATCTAACGAACTTACTCGCCGTCATCTACCGCAGGGACCCGATTCTCACCGCCGACCCGGCCATGCCATCGAAGATGCTGCGGGCATGTGGATTATTACCGCCAAAGAAGGCAATCCCGTCGCTCAGCGCGAGTTGGCCATTCTCTACTTGACCCATCCCGAGCTTCTTCCTCGAGTCACTCTACCGCTGACCCTGCCGAGAGATACTTTCAAGGCAGAGATGATGTATCATCGTGACGAGGACTCAAAGTCTGACCCGCAGAGTATGTGTTTGGCACTGCACTGGATGCAGTTGTCGGCAAATGGAGGTGATGAGCTTGCGAGGAATCGACTGCGTGAGAGGGAGGAGTTCGAGTCGATTGCCTGATTTGGTTTTCGATTGTTTTTTATTCTTTTTTTTTTCTTCCTTCTCTTATTCTTTTATTCTTTTGACTGTCTAGGTTTTCGGATGTTTACTTGATACCACTTGATATATCGTGTCGTGCCCATATATTCGATTCTGTTCTTGCTAATCTTTTGCAGATGCACCAGCTGTTGCCTGTCCCCTGGTTCACTGTGCATTTTCAACATTATCTAGCCATATATTTCACAGGCTGCTTGGCTATTTTGGCCCTTTCTCTGTGACTTTTGGGTCTGTTTGCAATATTCCCCATACACATCCTTGATCGAGGATGGCGTTTGCACTTCCCTGCTCCTTTTTTTTTTTTTTTTTTTTTTTTTTTTTTTTCTTCTTTTTCAATTGTCGCGATCATACCCTTGACTATGGCAGACCATATCTGTACAGGTTGTTGCTCTTTCTGATCCATTTTGATATCTACTCGCATTTACCATGCATTTGGTTGTCTGCATATCCGCGTAACTGCATTATGATAATAGAAGTATCTCTTTTCTCTATCCACTGGTTCTCGTAGTTGTAGTCGTACTCTGTGGTAGCATCGCCCAGACAACGTGCTGAGTCATCCGACGTCATGGCGGGCGCCCCACGTGCCAGTTCACAGCCAGAGACAAACTCCAGACTCTCTGTCCACGAGAACATTCTGTTATTCAGAGTATTCTGCATTGCTCAGGTTGCTGTGTTCATAGAAAGGACATTAATTTTGAATTATATTCTCCTGACTTGTCCCTGCTGTGACAGTCACGAGCCCTGTTGAGGGGTTCTTAAGCGGAAGATTTCTCCTTGCTTCAGCTTTTTGTTCGACTACTCAAAGTAGACATCATGACGATGGCGCACGTTGGTGACAAGCCTAAGGGTGTGTACTGCTACACCTCGATATTTGGATTTAATTACTGATACCGTATAGGCATCCTAAAGAACTCCAGCATCAACCCAACCCAACCCCCCACAACCACAACCACCGAAATAACAATCTCACCCCCCGCCCCGCCCGCCGACCAACACCACTCCAACCCCAACGACACCGACACCAAAGAACTCACCCTCCAAAACACCCTCCAAAACGCTGGCCGTCGCCGCTCCTCCTCGGCAACAACGCACCGCCTCCCCTCCTCCCGCCGCCCCTCCCTCGCCAACTTCCACGAAGATGACGAGAACAACCAACGCCTCCGCTGGGACGAAGCAAACCTCTACTTAGCCGAGCAGGAAAAAACCGCAAAAATGAAGATCGACGAGCCGAAGACGCCGTTTGCGCCGCAGTATGATCCTGCTGAGGACGAGGAGGAGATGCAAATGGCGGAGGCGGAGGAGAGTCTTATTGATGCGCAGGATGTTCGGGTTGATGAGTTGGAGAGGGGAAAGAAGGTTGTGCAGAAGAGGCCTGTGGCCGAGGAGGAGATTCCGGAGTTGGAGTTGGGGGAGGCGGAGGAATCACATCCTGCTGGTGATGAGGAGGAGAGGATTGTGAGGGAGAGGAGGGCTAGTCATGATGGGGAGAAACATGTTGTTGTTGGTGGGGAGGGGGCTGATGGGGGTGATGGTGTGGGGGATGAGTTGTTGTCGCCTGAGGAGGCGGAGGAGAAGCATCGGAAGTTTGAGGAGAGGAGGAAGAGGCATTATGAGATGCGGAATGTTAAGGAGATTCTTGCGTATGTTTCCCCCATACTTGGTGGAGTGGCTATGGGTTATTTACTGATTGACTACAGACACCCTGAAGAATTGGATGAGATGGATGAAGACGAAGATGAGGACGAACAGCCGATTCCCCCGCCAGTTCCTAAGATCCCGGAGAGGTTTCATAAGTAGAGATTGGTGTTGATATTTGGTTTTCTCCTTTTTTTTTTTTTTTTTTTTTTATTTTTTTTATTTTTTTTCTTTCTCCTATTATGTTGTCGACGATATTATGTTATTCCCCAGCGAGCTCGCACGTACAGGCATTATTCATGTTTATACACAGCGACAATAGAATGTTCTGCTCAGTACTACGAAGTACGTACGGTGTACAGAATGGAGTAACACTGCTACATCGGTTGATCTACAGATTGGCTATTATGCCTTAGGCATTCATAACCGCTGTCAAACAAAGTTAATTGGGTCAGCGTTGATCAAAAGTACAGCGCGCCCTCTCAGTTGCCTGTCCAGAGTATTGAGCTCAATCCTGTGAAGGATTGCCAAAAATGAAAACCCGCAGAGACGCGCATTATACATAAATAGCCAGCGTCTGGAACTCTGCACGTTTGCTGAACTCTCAGCCAGTCGCTCCGACCTTGCGACTCGGACCTGAAACAGCCCTGCAGATAGCCTCGTTTTTGAGACGACGTGTCTATTCAATTGTTGAGTACGGAGTACAGAGAGGACAATATTCGACGACAATGTGAAAATACTCCTGTGCGACCAAAAGTACCCCCAATGCCGAATTCTTTCACTTTCTATGGATAGAAACATTGCCGGTACTTACCTCTCCACTCTTGTACAAAGATGACCTATCGCTGGTCCCAGTTGGATTGATAGTCGGGTTATTGAAATAATCCCTGAATACTAAATCAATCAGAATTTAATCTAGTGTGCCTGTTATTGTGTATTTCTGTTTGTGCGTAGAGTAAATAGTACGTTTTCTTTTGTTGTTTATTTTTATTTATAGGGGGGCATGTGATTTCCTCGTTCTTTTTTGTTGTGGTTTTCCCCTCATTCCTTTTTTCCTTACATCTACTTGCATCTCTCATCGCGATTCTATCAGCGCTGCTGTCTTCTTTCTACTGTTGGTTTTCTTTACTACAATTGCTAGTTTCGTCTGATTTGTGATTTTCACGTCACTATGTCTGATCAACCCGCTGCTGCTCCTACAGCTGAGCCGGTGTCTGCTCCCGCGCCTGCTGTTGCTCCTGCTGTTGCTCCTGCTGCGGAGAAGGTTCCCGAGAGCCAGCCTGAGCAGAAGCCTGAAGAGTCCACTGCCACTGAGCAAAAAACTGAGCAGCCCAGCAACGATACCCCTGCCACCGAAAACAAGGACACCACCACAGAGACCCCTGCCAACGACAACAAAGAGAGCGAGGCCCAGCCCGAAAAGCCCACCTACCTGAAGAACAACGCCGCGCTATCGCAGTTCTTCGACCGTCTCCCTGAGATCCTCAAGAATGCTGACTACAGCGAGATGTGGGGTGTCACCCTCCAGGAGGACTCAGCGCACGTCCCCACGATCAACATCCTGATCAAGTACCTGCGTGCCAACGAGGGGAATGTCAAGTTGGCGGAGGGGCAGCTGGTCAAGGCGCTGAAGTGGCGTAAGAGTACGGATCCGGTTGCGTTGGCGGAGAGTGGTGTTTATGATGCGGGCAAGTTTGCGGGTTTGGGGTATTTGACTAATTATACCGGCGCGGATGAGAAGGAGACGGTTGTTACTTGGAATATTTATGGTGCGGTTAAGGATTTGGGTCATGCTTTTGGTGATTTGGATGAGTGAGTATTCCCGTTTTCGTCTGATTTGGGATGTTGGATGTGTGCTAACGATGGCAGGTTCATCAAGTGGCGTGTCGCTCTTATGGAGCTGGCCGTCAAGGACCTCAAGCTTGGCGAGGCGACTGCTGTCATCGACTACGATGGCGAAGACCCCTACCAGATGATCCAGGTCCACGACTACCTAAACGTCAGCTTCCTGCGCATGAACCCCAAGGTCAAGGCCGCCACCAAGAAGACCATCGACATCTTCACCACTGGCTACCCGGAGCTGCTTCGCGAGAAGTTCTTCGTCAACGTCCCTGCTATCATGGGCTGGATGTTTTCTGCCATGAAGGTCTTTCTGAGCAAGAACACCACTCGCAAGTTCCACCCCATCTCCAACGGAGCGAACTTGGCTCGCGAGTTCCCGGGTCTGGCCGACAAGCTCCCTGCTGCGTATGGCGGTAAGGGCTCTGAGTTGCAGAGCACTGCTCGCACTGTGAACCTTACTTCTGAAGCTCCCAAAGAGGCCCCCAAGGAGGAACCCAAGGAGGAACCCAAGGAAGCCGGAGAAGCGCCCAAGGAGCAGCCCAAGGAGGAATCCAAAGAATCTGCTAAGACCGAGACGACTGAAACGCCTGCTACCACCGCTGCCTAGATGTCTATTGATACTGGTGGCTGTGGCCTTGATTGATTTGCATTGGAGGATTTTGATACCCGAGAACGGTAGATGATGGACAGGATCTGGACATTGGTTGTTGGCATTTGATACCTCGTCGCGTTTTACTATACTTAATCTTAGTATTTTAATAATAATATCTCTTCTCTTAGTTATTTTCTTTTTCATTAACAAGGAGAAATAGTGTAAGAGTACGGAGTACAACGTAGGGTGGTTAAGTACTGTACGGCACATCGCAGTGCCACGACCGCAACTCATCGGGCTTGGCATCGCGACAGCTCTGTTCCTCCGACAGACGTTCAACGCTGTCACTGGTATTTCTACTTATTGCAACTGCTGAGCTGTGCTAGCAGAATGAGTGCTATTTTCTTTGAAGCCACGAGACTCCGTTAATTCACGTACCACTACGGTCTGTCCTTGAATTCCCATCGGCCATAACCATCTCCGTTCTTTACACCCCGAATCCCCTTCCCAAATACAACAAACGAGAAACGAACACACGAAAAGAAAACAAAATGTCCGTCTGGAACCCCGACAACATCCGCGACGTGGCCGAATCCGTCGGCATCGTCAACCTGCACAACGAAGTCACCGAGAACCTCGCCCGCGACGTCGAATACCGCATCGCGCAAGTCCTCGAAGAAGCGTTCAAATTCATGCGCCACAGCAAGCGCACGACCATGACAACACACGACGTTGCACATGCGCTACGGGTGCTGGACGTGGAGCCGTTGTATGGGTATGAGTCGACGAGGCCGTTGCGGTTTGGGGAGGCGTCGTTGGGGCCTGGGCAGCCGTTGTTTTATGTCGAGGATGAGGAGGTAGATTTTGAGAAGTTGATTAATGCGCCGTTGCCCAAGGTGCCGAGGGAGGTTTCTTTTACTGGTTTGTTTTCCTTATTCTATAATTTGGTGGAGGTGGTGATGCTAACGGTGATGGCGATAGCACACTGGCTTGCCGTCGAAGGCGTCCAACCATCCATCCCCCAGAACCCTACGGCCGCAGACTCACGAAACCTCGAACTCCTCTCCAAGGGCCCGAATGCCAACTCGACGCTGGCCGCCATGAGCGGCACCAACGTCGCCGTCAAACCCCTGGTCAAGCACGTGCTGTCCAAGGAGCTACAGTTGTACTTTGAGAAGGTGTGCAGTGCGTTTCTGGACTCGAGCGAGGAGTACCGGACTAGTGGGTATGCGAGTCTACGGGAGGATCCTGGGCTACATCAGCTGGTGCCGTATTTTGTGCAGTTTATCGCCGAGAAGGTTACGCATAGCTTGAAGGATATTTTTGCGTTGACGCAGGTTATGCATATGACCGAGGCGTTGGTGCAGAATAAGTCGCTTTATGTTGATCCATACGTGAGTTTCTTTCTATCACGCTCGCTATGATAATGGGATATGCTGATGTATAATGGTTAGGTTGCATCCCTGGTCCCCCCCATCCTAACCTGCCTTATCGGCCGCCATCTAGGCGGCAACGCAGACTTAACAGAACAATTCGCCCTGCGTGACCTCGCCGCCTCGCTCCTCGGCCTGATTGGCAAGAAATACTCGCACTCGTCGCACGCGCTCAAACCCCGTCTCGCCCGCTCATGCCTCAAGACCTTCCTCGACCCCGCCAAGCCCTTTGGCGCCCACTACGGCGCCGTCATTGGCCTACACTCCGTAGGCGGTCCCGAAGCTGTCCGCGTCTTGATCCTCCCGAACCTAGCGACATACTCGAACAACCTCCTCCGCGACGGCCTGGCCGATGATAACCCACGCCGACCGGAAGCTGAACGCGTTCTGGGGGCACTACTAGCCGTGCTCGGGACTTTGAGGGAGGGCCGTCTTCCGCAGGTGAATGGCCATGTGCCACAGGTTACGGAGGATGTCCGGGAGCGGCTTACTGGTAGAGTTGGGGAGATAATTGCGGCAAGAATTGCGGAGGGGAGTGAGGTTCAACTGGCGCAGGCTTTGCTTGAAGCTTAGCTGGCCCCTTTATGATATCGTTTTTATTACATTAGGGGTAAGGGTATTGGGCGTTGGGCATTGGTGTTTTATCTGTTTTTACAAAATCGCGCAGTTAATGGAGCGTTATGTAAGCCTTGCGACGTCATTTTGCCGGGTAGTACCGCCTGGTCGCGCGACCATTCCCTTGATACAGATACTTGGATGTACTCCGGAGTAGTTATAGGGAGTATCGAGAGAAGACGGTGTATTATTATAGTAACAGTGCACCTCTGCGTATGTGTAAATGATAATAAAAAAACCCAATTAATCTGCCATAGCCATAGAATCCCCCCATTGGGCATCTCAGCCACTGTGTTCTGCGGCTCCACCAATGCGCGGGCCCTAAAGTCCCCTCCTCGATCGGTCAATTTTTTCCTTCCCTTCTCTCTCTCCCTCGCTCTGGGTTCACTCACACACTTGTCTGTTCTCAGGCAATTCTTTTTCTGTCACTCTAGTTATTGAGGGTGCTATAAATCCCTGATATCTTTTTATCTATTTTTTTCTCTTTTTTCTCGCTTTTTTGTGTCGCCAGTGTGCTCGCTTCGCCGATGTCCAGTTTCGTGGTATCGCGCGACCTGCTGCTCTAAGCCCAATTGTGTCTTTGCCTTCCATGAACCCAACGGATCTACTGCGATTCCTGTCCAAGCCTGCGAAGTGAGTACTGCCCTTGTTCTAGGTGTGTGGTGTGAATAGCGACAGTGCTAACAGTCCAAGGCCCAGATAACACGACCCACGTTCACCGTCCTCGTTATCCACGAATTTTCCTCTTTTCCCGCCTATTTTCCATATTTTATAAACAGCAAATCCTCGTCTAGACCCGATACTTCACCGGTATCGGTATCTATCAGAGCGAGGGTTCGATCCCGATCAGCCACCATTCCATTGTCCAAAGGCTTTTTCCTCTCCCTCTGTTTCCGCCCTCCCTAGCAGCCTTTTCGGGGCATCGATACCTTCTTCTTCCATTTTGTCTGGCCGTGTGCCAGTCGCTTTAGCTTTTCGTTAAAGGGCCTTCTCTCTCAGACGGACATTTCCCCCCCCCCTTTTGTTCGTCTGGGTAGCAGATAGTGCTTCCTAGACAGTCGAGTTCGACCAAACAGTCCAAGAATAAGTGAGAGTTGTCGAGATGGGTTACATTAGTATTCCCAAGAATTACACGGCTTCGCCGTCGTCGTTTATGGGAACGCCGGCGTTGACGATCAATCATGAGGCGACTCAGGGTCTTGACTCGTCTAATGCTTTTGAGGGTGAGTTTTTCGTCTGATCTGATAAGGGATAATGCTGATTATTGCAGGACCCGAGAAACTTCTTGAAGTGTGGTTCGCCCCCTCTGCCAATCAGTTGGGCTCTGCGATACCTGCCGGTTTGAAGGCCGTGCCCGAGGAGATCTGGAAAGACATGTTGGATCTGGTCAACTGTCAAGTTTTGTCTATCGTCGCGTCCGACGATGTCGACGCCTACCTGTTGTCCGAGTCCAGCATGTTTGTCTGGCCGCACAAGTTGATCCTCAAGACGTGTGGTACCACCACGCTGCTGTCAGGTCTGCCGCGCATTCTCGAAATCGCCGCTGTCTTTGCTGGTTTCCCAAAGGCCGCTGCATCGCGTGGACTTGGTGTCGCTGCGGCTCCGTACCGTGTGTTCTACAGTCGCAAGAACTTCCTCTTCCCTGACCGTCAGCACGGCCCGCACCGCAGCTGGAGAGACGAGGTTCGCACCATGGACAGACTGTTCTTGAACGGTAGCGCGTACATGATTGGCAAGATGAACGGCGACCACTGGTACTTGTACCTGACGGAGCCGCACACCTTGCTCACGCCGCCTGGCAGTCCCAAGCTGGACGAGAACTTCCCGGAAACCGAGACCAAGGTGCTCAACGTTCCCGAAATCGCTGCTGTTCCTGGAGCGGCTGACGAGCACGATGAGACGCTCGAGGTCCTCATGACCGATCTGGACGAGCAGAACGCCAAGCAGTTCTACCTCGACCACGCGACCTCCGTCGCAGAGAAGCGTTACCGCAACTTTGATCGCGAGAATGGCAGCGAGCACGTCGATGTCTTCAGCAACACGTCCTCGGACATGAGCGACATCGACTCGGAGGGTAGCCAGATCCTGCCCCCCGAGCTGACGACCGAAGGCCACGCCCTAGGCACAGTAGTCACGGAATCCTCCGGCCTGTCAGATGTGTACCCGAAGGAGAAATTCCCGGACTCGCGCATCGACGCGTACCTCTTCACTCCGTGTGGATTCTCCGCGAATGGCGTGATCCCGTCCCCCGATCGCAAGACAGGCACGCACTACTTCACCGTGCACGTAACCCCGGAACCACACTGCTCCTACGCGTCCTTCGAAACCAACGTCCCGCACTCTCAAAACGGCCAAACAACTGCCGACATCATCCAGCAAGTCGTCGACATCTTCCAACCAGGCCGCTTCAGCGTGACTCTCTTCGAAGCCAAGCCCACAGCCATCGTCGAGGGCGAGGCCGACACCGCCAAGGACGTGAAATACATCGAGCGCTACGCTGCGCGCCGCACACCGAAGACGGAGCAGGTCGCGGGATACAGACGGGTGGATCGCATTGTGCATGATCTGGAGGGATATGATTTGGTTTTCCGATACTACGAACGCAATGACTGGAAAGGGGGGGCCCCGCGACTTGGAGAGGAGGGGTTCTGAGATCTGTGCAGTGCAATTTTGTGCATAGTTTACAGTGGATCTCGCTGGTTTGCGTGTAGTATTTAGTATTTGGGATTGAGGGAGATTGAGCATTTATTTCGGGTTGTTCTGCATTAGCAGTAGCGTAATTATGCATAAGTTTATATTCATTTTATCTAAGTCTTTTGGTTTTATCGTAGTGCGTAGTGATATTTAGAGATAGAGAGCAGGATACTCCGTACTGTACTCTGGTGGTGAGCGGAGCGGATCTTCTATCTTCAGTCCGCGTCTGGCCGAGTTCTATCATCATTTTCAACCAAACACCAACGCCAACACATCGAGATACCCGTCTTCTTCATTACTTTTAATACTTTGCATATTTTCTAATCGCCTTCCTCATCCTGTATCCATTGCAATAACCATCAAACCACGTCTCGAAACCACGAAATTACCGACCGCGTCGCATCGCAGCGAATCCACCTACACAACCACCTCACCCAACGCTCTCCATCTCACAACGCAATCAACAACAACACACCAAAATGTCCTCCCCACCCCCCTACACCCCTCCAAACCCCCTAAAACGCTCCATGACCTCCCTCTCCACCCCCACCAACACCGCCACACCCACATCCTTCCACAAACGCCCACGCATGCACCCCCTCCGCCAAACCTCCTTCCCAACGACCATCGACGACCCGCGCGCAGCACCATTCAGCGCCGCAGCCAGCGACGCCGGTTCCGTGACGGGGAGTTTCACGGGGAGTCTTGATGGGGCTTTTTCAGCTGCGGGTGGAGCGCAGGTGCCGAAGGGTGGGAAGAAGAGGGGGCGGAAGAGTAAGGCTGAGAAGGAGAGGGAGCGCGAACGGGAGAGGGAGGAGGGAATTGGGAGGGGTGGAGAGGGGAGGGGGAGTGTTGATGTTGATGGTGCATCTGTGAGAGGGACGGGAAATACTGGGGGAGGGGGAGGGGGGAATACTGGTGCTGGAGGGAATGAGGATGCGGAGGAGGATGAGGATTTTGATGATGAGGGGGAGTTGTTGGGGAGGGAAGAGGGGGCGACGGATATTGAGGCTGAGAAGAAGAATCTTGCGTGTGTTTTCCCCTACCTCCCAAGATGAGGGTTTGTGGTGCTGACTGTGCAGTCTATTGGTCGATGCATTTAATCCCCAGCAATCAGAGCGATACGATCTGTTCAAACGAGCGAAGTTGAGGAAGGAAACGCTGCGGAGAATCGTTAACCATGCGCTTTCGCAGTCTGTGCCGGCTAGCGTGGTTACGACTATTAATGGATTTACAAAGGTGTATGCGGGAGAAATCATCGAAAAGGCGCGGACGGTACAAGCGCAATGGGCGGATGCACACGATCAATCCGCGCGCGCTGAATTCGACGAGCAGCAGAGACTAGCAAACTCTACGACGACTGAAAGCGACGCCACGATCAAACAAGAACCAGGAACGCAATCCCAACCTCAACGCGTGTTCGTTCCACCTCCGAATCCGCATCGCGGACAGTTACTTCCCGCACATCTGAGAGAGGCACTACGGCGGTATAAGCGCGATGGTGAAGGTGGTGGTGTTGGGTTTTCGGGATTGAGTATGGGGAATCTCGGCGTGAGAGGGTCGGTTACTTGGAATGCCGGAGGTGTTGGTGGACGGAGGATATTCAGATGATTTTACCCTCTGCTGTCACTGCTTCTGTGCATAATTTAAGATGGCATTCGAATATCCGTAATAGATGATCGCCATAATGCTATCAACAGCTCAAATGAACTCAGGAGTCTTGGCGAACATCACCCGAAGAGGAAATGTTCAGCCCTATTCCTGAATCCTTCAGGATTTCATTATGAGCCGGTATAATAATTGTGCAAAGTAAATTTATGTAAAATGTATTTACTTCAACCCTTACCGCATATCTTAGACGACGAAAAAAATAACATCCAGTCTACGCACCACGTGCGCCAATCACTTGACACCAGCTCCCCAATATATGGCGCGATTCTTGGCAACGTAATGCCCCGGCATTCTCGGCGCTGATCATCTTCTTTCAACGTCGCAGGCAGAAACTATGGAGAACGGGATACAAGACATAATGTAGGGCAACGCGGCAGGGGGGGGGGGCACGTATCCCTGTTTGTGTAGCTTTTAATTGTTTTCCCCCGGTCAGACTTTCAAAGTACTCCGTACACTCTTTTACATATTGGAGTACATAGTACATTCGTTATTGTTTACATACTACTATGTTGACACTCCCTTGATCATGTTTGAACCTACACATCTATATTCCCGTCTGGTGGAAAACCTCCCCCCACTGCCCTGGCAGTCCGGTGACCCCAATGTCAAAGGGGATCCCCGGAAGAGCGTCAAATGGATTGATGTACTTCCATCCCCCATCCCCCCACCCCCATACACATATCTATATCAGTGTACTGACAAAGTAGGGCCTCCGCGGCATCGCATCCTTTCTCGTCGTCCTCACCCACCTCGCCCGCGCCTGGGACTACGACCTCTTCTCCCCCCGCGACACCGAAGACGTCCCACCCCGAATCCTACAATGGCCCAT